CCAGGTTTTAGCGGGAGTCAGAAGTGCAGATGGAAGAGGCGCCCAGGCTGGAGGCCCCCAGACACACAGGCAGGCGGGCAGGCCTCACCGGAGCTCCAGGGGTATCTGGAGAAGGCCCAGCTGTCCTTCATCCCTCATGTCCCGGACAGCCTAGAACCGGCCTTTCTCTGTCTGGCCTCTCAGGGATGCAATGTCTAGGAGTTTCCGGACCATTCAGAGACCCAGAATTCCTTCTTTCCCCTTCCAAAGTGTTTCCAGAAGTTACTTCCTTCTGGGGCTGAAGCCTGGCCTGGGAACCTCATCTGGAAGGTCCTGTAGTCAATGGGGTGTGTGGGAGCCAGTCTTCGGGATCAAGGCTCAGTCCGTGACCATGATGAAATCTCAGTCTTAGTTCAGGGTCAGCATTCAGTGTATTGATTAGGGTCAGAGTTCAGGTTGGGACCAAATTCAGGGCTCTGTGACCAGCGTCAGGCTCAACCTGTTACTAGAATCAGGCCTTAGTGCATGCATCAGGGTCAGGGCTGTCTGTGCCCAGAATAAGGGCTTAATGTTTGTCCATGACCAAGACTCAGTCTGTGCCCAGATCAGGGTTCAATTTTTGGTAAAGGTCAGCGTTCAAGTCAGAACTCAGTCTAAGATCAGGATCAGGGTTCACTGTGTGGCCCAGGCAGGGTCAAGGCTCCGAATGTGGTCAGGATCAAGCTCAGGTCAGGACTTAGTCTAAAATCAGAGTGGAGGGCTCAGTCCAGGACCAGACCCAGGACTCACCTGTGTCCTTGATAAAGGATGTCTGTGTCCAGCACCAGGCCTCCCTCTGTCGTAAGGTCAGGTTCCAGGGTTGGAGGTGTCACTTAGTGAATCTGGGTGACTTTAACACCCACCCCCTTCATGCACACCCAACTCCCTACTCCCCACCTCCTCGGAAGAGGAAAAGGCAAAGTTGTGCAGTCTGGCTGGGCTGTCACCTCTATCCCCTGTCATGTGCCCAGGGTGCCCTCTGGTGGCACTCCCTAGCAGTGCCGGTTTCCTCAGTCTTAGCCCATCCATCTGGCCATCTCCTATGCAGGGGAGCCTGCCTGGCCCTCAGGTGCATCCATTAATGCTCATCTAGCCAGCTCTATATTCCTGTGTCACCCCACCTCCCCACAAAGCAGAAAACAGGAATTGGCCAGGAGAACTCCCACACGCATAAGGAGCTTTTCTCCCTTCCTGTCCAGAATCAGGCATCTTGATAAATCCCTGTTTCTGGCGGCCCAGAATCTTAGCTGTGTGATAACATTCACACCCTTTACTCATTCAGTCGTTTGACAAATATTTATGGGGCACCTACCTTGTGCCAGGTAGGCACTGAGTGCACAGCTGTGAATAAGCCAGAAGTCCCAACCTCTTTGAGCTCACATTCTACTCACTTCTCCCTGATCCCCGACTCCTAGTGCAGAGACCTCAACAGAAAGGCACTGGCGTCAGCAGAAGGTTAGGTGAGATTCAGAACTGGGCAACTTCAAGTCCCTTCTTTCCCCTAAGAGTCAGAGGTTGGACTACTCTAGGTTCTGGTTCCTGGTCTTCATCTCTCCTCATACGCCTCATCTGGACTCATGGCTTCACCACCACCCACAGGTCAATGGCTTCTGCATCTGCCTCCCCAGGGCTCTCCATCTGGAACTCGGGCCTGCGGCTCCAGCTCCTACAGGACAGCTCCACTGGGTTTACAGACCTTTCATCTGACAACAGCCCTTGCTTTTCCTCCACCATATGCCCAGCTGCTCAAACCAAAATTCTAGAACTTCCTTCCAGATTCCTCTCTTTCACTCCCTTAAACTCCCCTGACAGGGAGACCTCAAAAATGGGTGTCGAGGGCTTCCCTGGTGGCGCAGTGGTTGAGAGTCCGCCTGCCGATGCAGGGGACACGGGTTCGTGCCCCGGTCCGGGAAGATCCCACGTGCCGCGGAGCGGCTGGGCCGGGCCCGTGAGCCATGGCCGCTGAGCCTGCGCGTCCGGAGCCTGTGCTCCGCAACGGGAGAGGCCGCAGCAGTGGGAGGTCCGCGTACCGCAAAAAAAAAAAAAAAAAAATGGGTGTCGAATCGGCCCGGCTCACAACCACCGCTCCGGTCCTGACTCCCAGCGTTTCCCACTGCAATGACCTCCTAACCTGGCCCCTCTTTTCCCTCGTGTCCCTCAACATCTATTTTCCACATAGCAGGCAGAGTGAGCTGTACAATCATAAATCAGATCATGTCACTTCCCTGCTTAAAACCCGCCAGTGGCTCCCATCTCACGGAGAATAAAACCCCAGCTCCTCACCCTGCTTACTAAGCTTTACAGGAGCTGAGCACTATGCCCGCTCCCACCTTCTCCAACTTCATCTCCCACCCTTGTCTCTACAGCCCTTCTTTCTTGGTCTGACACATGGAAGCCAAGTTCATTCTCACCTTAGGGTTGCACTGGCCATTTTCCTGAGCATGAAATGCTCTTGCTCTAGACCCATGCGTGGCTAACTCTTGTCAGTCAGAGCTCAGCTTAAATGTCACCTCTCAGAGAAGACCTCTCCAGCCATCGAAGTCCCTCTGTCACACCTTCCTATTGTGATTTTCTGCACAGCACTATCAACTAGCTAGGATTTTTTGTCTTGTTTGCTTACTTATTTAATGCTTTAATTCTCCCCCAAGTAGAACGTAAGCTCCTCCAGAGCTTGTTCACCAAGCTATGGGTTCATAGTAGGGCTCAGGAATTATTTGTTGAATTAATTAGTAAAAAATGGTCCTAAGTGGCCGCCCTCATTTCTTCTAGTGGGAAGAGAGGGAGAGGATCTGAGTCCCCAGTCCTTAGTGGGCTCCCTTGTCTTGGCCCTCTGGGAGGTGGCCTCACTGTGCCACCCCTGAGCTCCCCCAGGCCCCAGGCGGCACCCCTCCTTTCAGAAGGACCAGCTATGTGTCCTCCACATAGGACTGTGTGCAGCCCCTGGACCTCTGAGGACATACCCTGGTGCCTCAGTTCTGAATCTCAGGGCCAGGAGTGGGAGTGGGAGGGCTTAGCCTTCATCCCAGGACCCCTCGTCAGTGTCCCAGCGGGAGGTGCCAGTCCCTGCTCAGATTCCTCAAGGTCAGGGAGCTTCCTGCCTCTGTGCCTTCAGAATCACCTCCTCTCCTTCCACAGAAACGTGCTCCCCACCTGGTGGCGCCCTGGAGCCCCTCTCTGCCCTCAGGGCCTGGAGCCTGCCGGGGAGGGGACTGCAGACATGCGGAGACAGGGCAATCCTCCAGCCTCCTTGTGTGTGGAGACTGCAGCTGCCCTTGGGCCTCGCTGGCTCCACGGTGGATGCATTGCCCTAGGGGGGCCTGAAGGGATATGAGGGAAGGAGTCCCCAGGTGTGGCAGGCCTGGAGGGATACTGGGGGGCTTTGCTAGGGCTGGCGGATTGGAAAGTGGGTCCTGGGGTATACAGCATATCTCCTGGTGTGCCTGGGGAGGGAGAGGAGGCACAGACGGGACAAAAGATGACCTTCAGCTGGCAGTGACAATGCAAGGGAGACTCCAAGGAGCCATGCCCCACAACCCGCCTTCTGCTGCCACGTTGATCCCATTCTATTCACTCGCACCATCGATCTGTGGCCCACTGCCTATCACATGCTCACTCTCCTCCCCAGCAGCCAGGCTCCAAGACAGGATCTGGAAGTCTTCTTGTAGAAGAGGAAGAAACCCTGATGGTGCAACTCCAGGCCTCTGCCAGCAGGAGGGGGAGGGGTTTGGGCTGGGCCTGGCATTCCCGGGCTAGAATCTAGGGTGCCTCTTCTTAAGAAGGTGGTGGGAGAAGGGTGGTCCACACCCCAAGGCGGCATCAGCAGTGGCCCCTCTCACCTCCTACTCTTCCAAGGCAGCAGGTGGCGTCCGAGGCTGCCAGTGGACCAGAAGAGACAGGCCTGGAGCCTGGGGAGGTGGCCTTCCTTACACACACACACACACACACACACACACACACACACGCATGCAGGTGGGGGTGGGGAAGTGCTCTGAGAAGAGGTCATCAGCTCCAGGGGCTAGATGCTTCAAAGGTTAGGACCATCGACCCGTGCTAATTAATAGAGTTGACCTGCTCAGTGCCCACTGAGAGGGAGTCACTCTTCTTCAGGTCAGTGGGAGGGAGACAGCAGGAGAGGAAGAGGCAGAGAGAGGGTCAGAGGAAGGGAGGAAGAAAGAGCTCCAGGGCTGGTGGAAAGTGCCTGTGCCAGGGCAGAAGAGCAGCAGAACCCAGCCTGGAAAGAGAAAGGGAGGCTGATGAAGCCAAGGGCAGCTGGACAGGGAGTCATGGCCAGCCAGGGGTGGTGGGCCAGTGCGTGCCACCATCACTGGGCACAGCTTGCCTGGGTCCCTGAAGTGAGAGGAGGGGCTGGCCCAGGGTTGCAGTGTTTTCCCCCCAGCCCCCTTGTTTCTTCTTGCAGGGCAGCCTGCATTTCTCTACCAGGCACTCTCACCCACCTGGACAGAGGACAGGCTGAGCCCAGACTCCAAGCTCAGCCAGGCCAGGAGAAAGGTGTAGGCTTTGCAAGACCTGGGGAGCCCTTCTGCCTCATCATCCCTGCTGGGTGACCCAGCCCTCAACCACCAACACACACACACACACACACACACACACACACACACACACACACACGCTCTCACACAGGTGTGATGTCAGACAGTGTCACCCAAAATACTCCCACACTCCCCATCTCATAACGTAGCCGGGCTGTCTCACCCACAGTCACACTTATATACTCATCCAGCCCCCTATCCGACACCCTGTTTCCACAGATGTTCACAGGCACCCACAGTCTCAGTCTTTTGTTCACAGTCACATACTCCTCTCCCTGGGGCTCCCTTCCAGGTCTCCAAGGGGGGCTGGTGCTGGGATGATGAAGCACTCCGCCGCAGGGTGGGGGGACCGAAGACTCCAGGGTGCTGGGTCAGAGGCCCCGCAGTCAGCTCCTCCCTCCTGCACTGCACAAGGGCAGAGGACGACTCCAAAGGTGATTTATTAAGGAGCGAGGGAGGTACAGCGGGAATACACAGTGCGGTTCAAGACCTTCAGGGTGGGAGGAGCCCACTCACCACTCCTCCCTGTCGGCCCCCAGCTCAGCTCCCCCTGCTCTAGTCGGGCAGAAAGGGTGGAGTGTGCTCAACACAGCTCTATCTTAGGGATGATCTGGCTCAGATCAGATCCTGCCCCCATTAATCCCAAAAGGTAATGTTGGGGTAGAGACAAGGAGGGCGGGGAGGGACAGAAGGGGGTCGGGCAGCCTTTCTCATTAGGCGGGGACAGGAGACAGCCCAGGCTGAACCCATCCTTTCTCCCCCTCTTCCTCCCACCCCTTGGGGGCGCGGGCCTTGCTGAGAGCCCCTCAGAGTGGCTCTGCTCACAGTGCCCAGGGAGGGAAGGACCAGCAGTCCAGTTTCCGGACGTCTGGGGAGTGAGGTAAACTAGGGCCCAGCAGACCCCACCCTTTGAGGGCCCTGCCTGGACACCATCCTCACACTACCCCCTCCCTCCCCCGGAAGTTCCAGAGATGGGACAGAGGAGGCCACCTGTGCCCAGCACCGGACCCGTATGAAAGTTTTCTTTTTCTTGTCTCTCCTCCTCCCTCTCTTTTTTCCTAATGGCACTGATGGGAGGGAACCGGGACAGGGGAGTCAGGACCGGGGACCCAGGAGGCTAGGGGGCGACGCCCTCCCGGGGCAGGCCGAGCCGGACCCCATCGGCGCGCGGCGCGTAGAGGGCTGCGGGCGCGGGGGCATCCAGGGCGAAGGGGCCGGGGCTGGGGCTTGAGCGGCCGGACGACGCGGCCGAGGGGGCGGGGCTGATCTGCACGGCCGTGGTGTCCTGCGCCGTGCGCTCGCTGCTCTCCATCTCCAGCGCCACCCGCCCGCCGCCCCCGCCCTGGCAGGGACCCGCGGCCGCCGTCGAGCGCGAACGGGGCGCGGGCCCGCGGCGGCGGCTACACACGCAGCAGGCCGCGAAGAAGCCGAGCGCCAGCACGAGCAGCGCCGGCCCCAAGATGAGCGGCGCGTTGTGCCCCGGGACGAAGGAAGCGAAGGCGCCCACCAGCGTCACGTTCACGCCCGCCAGCAGCACGCACAGGCCGCAGGCGCAGAACAGCGCCGGGGACGGCGGGCCGGGCAGCCGGCCTTGAGCGCGGCCCGCGGGCGCCCGGGCCGGGGGGCCCTGGCTCTTCTCCGGGGGCGGCATCGGCCTGGGGACTCCGGGCACTCATCCAGCTCCCTCCTGCCGCCGGCCCCGGCCAGCCCACATGTCAGCGGCTCAGCTCACAGTAGTCCTGTGGGCACAGATCAAGGGAGAGGTCAGCTGGGCATCTGGGCTTCCAACCCCACTCTCCGTTCTGTGGCTACGTTCAGTGCCTGGGAGTGCAGAGGCCATGCCGTCTTGGCCAGCCCCTGTCTCTGCCTCTGCCTTTGGGAAGCAACAGCTCACCGCCCATGGGAAGACTCCCTTATCCCACCAGGTCCCTGGAGTTCCTCGTGGCTAATCTTGCCATCTCCCCTCCCTCCCCACTTCCTTATGTCCTCCAGACAGACACCAGTCCTCCACCTCCTCTCCTCCAGAAAGCCTTCTTGGGCTAATTAAGTGAGTAAATAGGTGTAAAGTCCTCGGCACAGTGATAATCATGATCAGTAGTTCTAATCAGAGGCCAGGTGGCAGCTCTTGGGACTTAGCTTCCTCCCTTGAGTGTTAGAGGCCCTAGAAATCATCTGGTCTAGCCCCAGCTCGTCCAGAAGAGGAAACTGAAGCGCTGAGAGATCTAGCGATTTACCCAGTATCCGGGCATAGCAATGACATTAACTTTCCCGAATATCAGATGAGGCCCTGGAGTGAGTGACCACATGAGAGTGAGGAGCTCTTGAAGTTTTAGATGGTCAGTGAGAAGAGACAGTCCCTACGTGGGTTGGGCTGGAGCAGACCCAAGGCCCCGGGTCCTTCCCAGACTGGGCATTCTATTAGATTCCACTCCTACCCCCATCCCATCCCCCGGGAGTCTAGTGTTGAACCTGGACTCAAAAGCCCAATCACTGGGTACTAGGATCCCTTTCTAGGATTTTCTCATTGTATCTGGTTGTGGGATCTATCACTGGATTCTATAATTCTGGGACTGCGTACAGAAGCAAGGGTAATGTCATCAGAGTCTGGGGAGTTTAAGACTTCTATTTGAGAATTCTGCTCTATAACATGAAATCACAGGTATTAAGGCCCTCGAAGGATGAGATCATAGCCATGGAGCTGTGTTAGAATTGTGAAAAAGTGTCGGAAAAGGGCTCTGAGTTGGGGTGGGAGGGGAGTAATTTGATGGGACTACTGGTTGGCACGGAGCATGCTGGATGAGTAACGGAGCATGACCTGGACAAGTGGCCTAACTCTCTATGCCTCAGTGTTAACACCTGTAATGTGGGGCTAATAAGAGAACCTACCTGATAGGGTGTGGTGATAACTAAATGCCGTAAGCTAAATCACGTGCTTAGAACAGTGTAGGACATAGTGAGATTTCCATGTTACTCATGTCGTAGTGGTGGCTGATAAAGAAGGGGCTCTAAGGTCTCAGATCTGGGGGGGTCAGTCATGTCAAGTTTAGAAACAGAACAGTTAGTCTGTCCCTCAGACGGAAGTGCCTCAGGGACAGGCCCTGAATTATCCTTCCCGAGTCCAAAGCCTGTACACAGAGGAGTTGGAGAGAATTTGATGATGGGGTGTGTGAAAACGAGGACTAGTGCTGGGGAGGGGCAGCTCAGGTTGTCACTCTGGACACAGGTAGGAATCAGCTTGGCCCAAGCAGGTCAGAGGGTCTGGAGGCCACCTCCGGGCCTGCCCAATGTGATGACTCCAGGGCTTCCTCCCCTGGCATCACAGTGGGAGGTGGCACCAGGGGAGGTGACAGCTGTCCTGCAACTCCAGCGAGAAGCTCCTGGCTGACACAGTAAGCTGGCAGGAATTCAGAAATCCCCAAATCCTGGTGAAGAAAGCATGTGTTGACCCTTGAGGGCATCTACCGACCACAGATTCCTCAGGAAGCTCCATATTTGCATGAACCATCTTTTTTTTTTTTTTTTTTTTTTGCAGTACGCGGGCCTCTCACTGTTGTGGCCTCTCCCGTTGCGGAGCACAGGCTCCGGACGCACAGGCTCAGTGGCCATGGCTCATGGGCCTAGCTGCTCTGCAGCATGTGGGATCTTCCCGGACTGGGGCATGAACCCGTATCCCCTGCATCGGCAGGCGGACTCTCAACCACTGCGCCACCAGGGAAGCCCTGCATGAACCATCTTTGATCTGCAGCTGTTGGTTCTGCCAGGCAGCAATAGCAACCGCTGAAGGGGTACAATTTTTAAAGCAGCTTCACATGCATGACATCACTGAATGATACACCTGCTTGATACTTATTAACAGCCACATCTTACAACTGAGGAAATGGAGGCTCAGAGAGGGAAGTTGATCTGGGTCTAGTGCCTGGACTAAAAGGAAGACCAGAATCAGAGAACACATGGTCCAGTTCACAACGTATGCAATCGTGCTTCATTTTAAAGAGAAGCGTTTGATCCCCTTGGTGTTGATGTGGAGATAAATCCCAACACTTTCTTCCTGCTGCCCTCAGGAGGTGCTGTGAGATTCCCAAGTTTCACCCCTTCTGTACCTCATCATTATCTGACATTGTCCTTCCTATGGGGAAGGCTCTGTCTGAGGCTGATGGAGGGAGCCCCTGATGGAGGGGATAGTGTCTGGCCTTTCACCTTATCTCACAGCAGACTCCTGAAAGCTGACACTGGACAAGGGTCGGGGGGTGGCGGGGGGAGGCCTAGGTGGCTGGAGGATCCAAGGCTCTCCTTTCTTTTTCCTTATAGAGAAGACTCTTTATCTTTGGGTTTTGGCAGTTTTACTATGATGTGCCAAGGTGAGATTTTCTTTGTATTTATCCTTTGTGGGCTTCCTGATGCTTCTACAATCTGTGGCTTGATTTTTGCCTCTTTTGGAAAATTTTCAGCCATTATCTTTCCCTCTATTCTCTCTCTTCTCTCCTTCTGGAAACCTAATTGCATACATGTTCAACCATTTGACATTGTCCCACACATCTCTTATACTCTATTCTGTATTTTCTAGCCCTCCCCCCCCGCCACCCCGCCCCGGTTCTCTCTGGCTATTTTTCTACCGATCTGTCATCCAGTTCACTAATCCTCTCTTCACCTGTGTCTTCTCTGCTGTAAAATCCATCTATTCAGTTCTTAATTTCAGTTGTTATAACTTTTCAGTTCTAGTATTGCCACTTGATTCTTTTTCATAGATTTCAGTTTTCTTCTGAAAAACTCCTTCTTATGTATTTTCTTGAACATATTAAACTCTTTGAAGTCCATGTCTGAAAACTCCAACATCTGGATCTCTTGTTTTTATTGTCTGTTTTATTGCTTTTGGTTTGGGGTCATTAAGTCTTATCTCCTGTAATGCCAGATCACTTTTTTATTAAACACCCAACATTGTAGAGATAGCTTGAGGTCCTGGGTGATGTTATCTTCCTTTAGAGAAGATTTACTTTTGCTTCTGACATGCAGCTGAAGAAGGGACAGGCCCAATCTGGGACTGCACTGACTGGGAGCTGTGTTTCAGTCTTCCTGAGTTTGGTCTATATCTGGTTAACCAGTACTCGCAGAGGATAGCATTTTGGGGCCCCCAACTAAAAGCTGGAGGTGTTTAACAGGGCCTTTCCACTTTTTAAGCCCTAAATTCCAATTATGACTTCCCAAATCCATGGCCACTGCCCCCTACAAACTGGAAAATGCCTTAAGGGAAAGAGTGAAATAAAATATTATTTCTCTTCTCTCCAAGATCTTGGCCCCTCAGGTCCTTACTGCCTTGGTAGCTCTCCCATGCCTTTAAACAGATTTCTTAAATGTTTAATCCAGCCTTTTTAGTTACCCTCAGTGAGTGAGTTGGTCTGATACAAGCTAGTCTTTCTTAGCCATAAACAAGTCTAGATGAGAATCTGAAATTAGCACTTTCAGGCTGCTAACCAAGTTAGTTGTGTTGTGTTGAGCACCTTGCAATAACATCTAATTTAATTTTCACAGCATGAGATTAAGTATTATTGTCATATCCCCATTTTGTATATGAGGATATTGAGGCACAGAAAGATTCAAGTTTCCCAAGACCATTGAGTGGCAGTGGTGGTGCCAGGATTTGAAAACTGGTGTCTTGACACCAAAGCCTGAGTTCTCAACCCAGTATAGCGCTAGGTTTGCTAAGTGCTTGTTGAATGACAGAAGCATAGGGCAGAGGCTTCCGTAGATAAGCTCCTGTAATCAGTACTTATGCTGCTCAAATATCAACAGCAGAGGAGGACAGGGTGTGTTCTGTGTGTCTGTTAAGGAAGGTAAACTCACTTTGCTCCTTCCTTGGCTTAGCACACTCAGTTCAACTAAAGCAAATACCTGCCCAAGGGCTGAGCTTCCAGGGGCTAATTGCCAGCAAATGATTCTTACCTGCTCCTGGGAGGCAGAACTGACTCTGGAAGACAGACTACTCCCAGAGTCTCCACCCCAGGCAGAGAACAGGCTAAGGGCTGATTCCTGAAGTTGCCTCCACCCTGGTTAATTGGGATCTGGAGCACACAGGGGTGAGGTGTTGAGGTCGTTCAGCTATTGCAGTTAATTCAGTCCGCAGCACCGTTTCCATCTGGTGGACTGTGGCCCTCCAGCTGGGGCTGGTGGATACTGTTTTGTAGCGAGTGCTCTGGGTGTCATTGGTGCTGTTCACTAAATCTTTCTGATACTCCCGCCTTCTGAACACATGTTATGATTGCACTTTCTGGCCAATTTGTGATTAGGTGGGGCTGTGTGACTAGTTCTGGCCAATGAGTTGTGACATTCGTCACTTCTAGGATGGAGTATTTAATTTCAGAAGCAGGACCCTCCGAGTTGGTGCTATTGCTATCCCTTCAAATATCCCTTCAAACCCTTTCTACCTCATCCCAAGGCCAGTCTTCAACTCCATTGCCTGAGCAGGAGGGAAGGTCATTGTTCTGAATCTTGAGTTTTAGAATTGGAACCTTCTCTTTAGTGAGCACCCCAAGCTGCTGAACCTGTAAAGATCATCTCATTCAATTCCTTCATCTGCAGAGGGGGGACACTGAGGCTAGGAGTGAGGAAGTTCATGGAGGGAGTCTGTGGCCAAGCCAGACCAGAACCTGGCCTTTTCCCACAAAGCCAGGGCTCTGACCATTGCCATTCAGCTGCGCATGACCCTGGTCAGGCAGCCAGAGTCCCCCCTGCCCTGCCTTGGCCTGGGAGGCCTTGTGGACTCTATTTGGGAGTCCAGGCCATAAGCAGTTAGGGGCAGAGGCAGACACTAGGGGCTGGGCCTCAGATAACCAGGGTTCTTGACTCTGGTCTGGTTGGGCAACTTGGGAGGGCCAGGGCCCCTCTCTGGGCCTCAGCTGCTGAATGTAAAGGGAAAGATTTAACCAGATTATTGTCTCTGAATCTGTCCTCCTGCTGCTGGTGGTTTGTGAAGGTGGACATGGAAACCAATCAGAAATTACTGCCAATATAGCAAAAGATCTCAAAAAACTGTACACTTATCTGTAATATGGCTGTTCTTTGCTTTGGGCTGGGATTAAGTCATTCCCCTCACCCTGCCCTGCAGAAGTAACCTGATGCTCTGCTGTTCAGGGTGGGGGTGGGGTGGGGGGTAGCTCTGGTTTTGGGGAGATGGGCACTCACGTTGAACAGTGAACAGTGCTAAGCACTTTCCCTGCACTCACACATTTAATCTTTACTATGACCCCCTGAGCTGTTGCCATCCTGAACCCAGTTCACAGTGAGAAACTGAGGCTCGGAGAGGTGAAGAACATTCCCTGGTTTACTCAGTTGTGATAGGTAAAGCTGGGATTTGAACCCAGTTCTGTCAGATTGAAAAGCCACGTTGTTTCTGCTACACCAGAATTTCTGCTTACGGAAGGTATAGAGATACTTGATTATTTTAAAAATTAGTAATTGATTATTACTATCCAGCCAATCATCAACAAGCTTGGGGCCCAGGGAGGATGGTCCTCCATAGGTGGATGCAGAGCTCCTAGAGAGGGGGTCTCCGCCTGAAGCCCCTCAGGTCAGCCTGACCCACCCAGTCTCTGAATCTTGGATGTCTGTGTTGTTCTAGAGCAGTTACTTGACCAGGGGCAGTTTCCAGGCCTTCTGGTGCCAGGTTCCTGCTGCAAGGACCCAAGAGCCTCTGGGCAAGGGGGCTGGGGCTTCGGTCCAAGCATCAGGCACTGGTCCCAGCCCCCTGTCTTCCATGTGAGATTGAGTCCCTCATTTGCTCAGTCTGAGCTCTTTCCCCTCACTGTGAACCCCTCTGTTTTCCTTAGCTTTGGCCCTTCTGTTCCCCTTCAGTCCCAGAAATTCTGGGCCAGCCCCCTCCCCTGGCCTCCCCATCCACCACCCTCCATTCCACCCCCATCCTCAGGGAACCTCCTACATCACCATTACTCAGTGCCAGCTTGTTCACTACCCTGGAAGCTCTCAGCTTCTGCCAACTGAATTCTGCCTCCTGGGAGCCCCCAAAGCTGCCACCACCCCCACCCTAGCCAATCCCACGGCTCCCCTACTTCTGCGCGCACACACACACACACACACACACACTCTCACACGAGGCTCACCCAGATTCTCCAGGCTGGAAACAAGAGAATGAAGAGAGTGAAATCTGGAGGTGTAGCTTCCCAGCTCCTGCGTCTGACACCTGGGCCCCATGATCCTCATCCCTGAGTGCATGTGCACACACACATCACACGTGTACACTCAGTGGCCAGACATATCCCGAAACACACACACAGATGCATTACACACTGAGAGTTGCAAACACATAGCCAGATGCATTACACACTGAGAGTTGCAAACACATAGCCAGACACAAAGACCCTCTCAGTTGCCTGCCTATCTGGTAGAAAAAAGCTGTTGCCCAGCAGAGGTACCTCTGGAGACTTCTCTTTGCCTGGGAGCGTGGAGATGGACTGCAGATTGGCAGCAGTGGAACTGCCCTTCCTGCCCACCTCCTTCCAAGGCTTTGGGAGGCGCTCTTTCTCCTCCAGCCCAAGTGCCCTGAGGGACTTCAGCATCCTTTGCACGACCGCCCCACCCTGCACCCTCTTAGTTCCTTGGCTCCTCATTTCCAAAGCCCAGTTCCTCCGTTCCACCCCAACTATACTCCCCCTCGTTACCCCAAGGACCTCACCACCCCTGTCATCACCCTGAATCCTTCCACCTCTGAGAAACCCAGCCATCCTACTCTTGACTAAACCCCATGGCTACCACTATAGAAACACCTGCACAGCACCTACTATGTGCCAAACACTGTTTTAAGCCCTTTATATTATTACCTCACTTAAGCCCTATGACAACCATATAGATAGATGCTATTGCCATCTCCAGTTTTGGATGGGGACAAAGAGGCTCAGAGAGGTTGAATCACTTGCCCAGGGTCACAGACATGGTGATAATATGTGGCAGAGCTGGGATTCTGACCTAGGCTGTGTGTCTTCTAAATCTGTGTTCTTCACCACGACTCCACAGCCTCTTGCTGTAACAGTGCTCTGATCTAATGCAATCCTGGAACTCTCTCTACATTTTCTCCATGAGCCTCTCACCTCTGCTTCTTTCTGCTTCCACCGGAGAACCCCCACTGCCTTACTTCACTTACCCTCTTGCAGTTTACCTTGTCTTGCAACTTGTTCCTTTGTCCTTCTGCCAAAGCTGCCCAGTGATGCCTCGACCCTGCATCAGTCCAGCTTTCTGTCTCCTCCACGTTTGTGCCCAAACTGCTAAGCTTTGTAGGTGAAAAGAAAATCACCAGCTGGGCAGCAGGGCCCTCGTGCATCCCTGTCTCTGGCATGACTCGGGCCCTCAAGGATCCCGGGGAACGTCCCCCTTCCTAGTCAGTGCTCAGCCCTTCTCACTGCGCCTGCACCTCCCTGAGGCACTCGAGCCTCTCCTTCTTGAAACCAAACAAAGCCCCCACCTCCCCCACACCTGCCTGCATCTTGAGAGCACTGTCTGCGCTCCCTACTGTACCTCCTTCTCAAAGGTCAGTCCACTCCCGTCGCGCTTCTGTGCCACCGCGCTCCGAAGGCGCTTGCTCCAAGGCCGCCAGTCACCTCCTCGGTGCTGAATTCAGTGAGGACGGTTCAGTCCTTAGCTAACTTGACCTCTCCACAGCTTTGGACCCTTGAACCCTCCCTCCTGGGAACATTCTCTTCCTCTTAGAAACAAGCCCATTAAACTTCATCTTCTCCCACAAAGCCCAGACTCCCAGCCGGAAACCTGGCTTCATCCTTGCACCTCCTCCTCCCTCATGCTCTCCCCGCCACATTTCCAATCTAGTCTGTCACCAGCCCTGCAGATTCTTCCCTCCAGGGGTCTAGAACCCATCCCTTCCTCTCTAGACTCACTGCTACCCCATTCCACTCTCCTCCCCCTTCGCTCCCTGCTGAAACCCCTCCTGGGCTCTCCCAGCCCTAGCTCCCTCCAGGCAGCCCTCTAGATTTTGCTGGAGCTGAGCAGAACTCGCCAGGTGTGGTCGGGTGGCCACGCTGCTCCTGTTGCCTCTACGTTCACCTGGCTAACTCCAGCTCAACCGTCAGAGCGCAGCTGGGACGTCGCTTCCTTCAGGAAGCCTTCCTTTGCCTCGGTGATGGGGAACTGCTGTGTCCAGGTCTGTATCCCCCACTGGTCTACCTTGAGGACCAGGATTATATCCACCTTGTTTGCTGTCACATCCCCACTGGAGTGTCTGGGTCTCCCCAGGCGCCCAGGAAATATTGGTTAGACAAATGGTTAAGGTCAGAGGGGCCACTGCGGCCTGCCTTTATCTGTCTCTTGGTTTTGAAGTCACTCTGTGCCCACTTCCCCCTATTCCCTCCTCACTTTGGGTCTTGGGAGGGTGTGGTGGACAGCTGGGTGGGGACTGGAGGTGGATTCTAGGGCAGATTCTTACTGCGTTAAAGACGGGGGAGGGATCAGGGTAAAGCAGAGGGGCCCAGGGAAGCCTCTCCATGCTGTGTGTCCCCCTTCTCCTGTTTCCCTCTCTGTCGTTCTCTTTTCAGAGAACTGTGCTTAAGGCTACAGGCGCTTGACCTCTTGTCTGGGCACTACTCAGTTCCCCTGGGGTTTAGGGCTGGATATAGAGTATCTCCTCCAATCCTAAAGCTACCCTCCCCATCGTCTCCCTTCTCCTTTCATCTCCTTGCACTCCCTCCAGCCTCCCCCAACGCCTGTAGCTTGCACTTGCCTGAGCCGGTCCAGTGGACACTTCTCTGCTGGTCCTGCCCCCAGGAACCCCCAGGGGAGGAAGGATCCCTAGAGAGGATGGCAGCCAGGGGGGTGCCAACTTGGAGAGGGGTGCTGGAGGGAGCGGCGGCCGGCCCCCCTCACTCACCCGGCTGGCGGCTTGCAGATCCCCGGCTTAGCGGGTGGGCGGGGGCGTGAGGGCAGAGGGGCTCCAGGGAGCAGCTCCCAGGGACCCGGAGGTGCCAGGAGGGCCCTGGCTGTGGGCTGCGCCGTTCGGAGAGCCCATCTCAGCTTCCTTGCGGCCCCTCGGCTCCCTTTGACCCCCCACGGATCAGCGTTCCCACCAAGTCTCTCCTCTTCTCTTTGGCTCCGGCTCCGCACCGCCCTTCTCCCCTCCCCGCCTCTAGGTTTTAACGCTTTTCAAGCGCCTGGCAATGAACTCCCAGCCGCCCACACACTCTCCAGTCTGGACTTCGTGAGTCCGGGATGGACACATTGCCGTTCACTCTAGAGCGACGGGTGTAGGTCTCACTGGCTCTGTCTTCAGTTTCTGGCGGATTCCCAACCCTGGGCGGGGGTGGGGCGTGGGGGGCGGATGGGAGGGGGATGCAGCGGTGACAGCAGGAAGATTTTTCCGGGGATGGGGCTTGTTTTCAGCAACCCTTCTCCAATCACCCTCCACAAATCCTGCATCCTAGAAAGATGTGTGGCCACGAGCCCCTTATACAGCTCCTGGTGGGATTTGGTGGGATTTGTAAGGGTTTCTTCGGGGGTGGGAGCGGGGAGGGAGTGCTTGGCCTGCCTCCAGGCTGGACTGTGTTGGCGAGGACTGGGTGGGAGTCTGAGGTGTTGATTTTCCAGGACCTGGGGGAGTTCAGCTGGAGGAGCATCTCCAACCCCCTCTTCATTCATTCACTCATCCATTCATAAATCCGCCCTGATGTGAACCACGCGCCAGGCCACCTTCATCCTGACAGTGGCCTGGGAGGGACCACTCACCTTCCACCTGCAGATGAAGAAACTGAGGCTCGAGACCTCACAGTCTCTTGCCCAGGCCCTGGAGGGGGGAGAGGGGTTGTTGAACCAGTACGTGAGTCTTATCCCTAGACTCCAGCTCCAGCCTGGTCAGTCCTCCAGGTTGGCCCAGTGGGAAGGTGACTTCCAGGGGGCTGCCTGGACCAAGCACTCCCCACCTTTGGTATAGTCTCAGCACCCAGCCCAAGGCTGGCTAGTCACATCCACAGTCGAGGTCAGAACAGGGCTATTGGATAGAACTGATTTCATTTATTGAACAGACCACTGTCCTATAACCTGTCCCTGTCCCCCCCCACCCCGCACTGAATGGAGGGTTCTGAACCTGCTCGGAGGGGAGAGGGCGCTTTCCCCTAACACTACCCACCGCACCACCCCTGCCTGCTTGGCCCAACCTCAGCTTCTTCCAAAGCATGGATGGGGAGAAGTCACGTGTCTCCACAGGGCCACTACTGGGACCAGGTGAAGGCGGTGGGGGTCAGGGGTAGAGATGCAGTTGGGGAGGAGGTATCTGAACACTCACCTGGACTGGGGGAAAGGAGTTCTCAGGAAGCCCATGGAAGGGGAAAGAGAGGAAACAGGCCCAGGCCTTGAGAACTCCCAGAGTTTCAAGGGTCCTTGGAGCCCCACCCAGTTCTTCCCCAAAGAACATAGCTCTTGCCTTTTCACGTGTTCATTTCCTAATTTAATCCGCTCTGATGCCCAACGCTGCTCTGTGCCTGGCCCTGCCAGGCATCTGGGATACCATAGCCCTGCCTGGGGGAGATCATGGCTGGGAAGGGTTGATGGTGGGCGAGGGGGGGGACCACAATCCCTACAGCTCAGGCACCCCTTCCCCACTTCCACCCCATCCACCCCTAGGCATCTCTTTGGGGTGCTGCTGGTGAGCATGAAGATGGACCGGAGGAAGCATTTCCTTACTGATCAAGGAAACCAGGCCCGAGTTATTGTTGATGACGATGATGTTGAGGAAAAGGAGAAGGGAGAGGGAGCAGGCGGGAGGGAAATGCAAGGAGGGGGACACTGACTTCCCTCGGGCTGGAGGAACACAAGTCTCCCCAGCCCAGCAGCATTTGTGAAATTTGTTCTATCCATGGAGGTCTGTCCCACTGTGGTCAAGGAGTTGGTCCCTGGGGCCTGTGTAGAGGACAGCAGAGGGTAGAGCCGTGGGTGGGGAGAGAGAAGAGGCCTGGGTGCCAGGTTTGGGACAATCTCTCACTATGGGACTTGATGAGTCCTTTTCCTGCAGGGCCTCAGCTTTCCCATCTGTACAATGGAGTGCTCTCTCCTGCTTTTGGTGTGGTTTTCCAACATCCAGTGGGTACCTTCCACGTGCCTGGCCCTCAGCGCCCCCACTCTCGTGAGGGGGAAATAGACAGAGGCCACTCAGAGTGCTGGGAGCTGTGATGGAGGGGAGCCCTGGGGCTGTGGGAGCACAGAGAAGTCAGGGGAGGCTTCCAAGAAGAGGTGTCATCTGCACTGATTCTTGAAGAATGAGACTCTTCCTAGCTTGTCTTTTGCTCACCAACCAGGACAGAGGTCACATGGAGAAGATGTCTCCACAGAGGTCATACAACTCTGCTTCCCCCTGAGGTCGCAGGTGTATGAGGAGTGGCGTGGAGGGAGGAGCAATGTTTCCTGTATAGCCTGGCTCCAAACCCTGTACACATGTGGAGCCTTGAAGTGGCTCTACCGGGAAAGCCTAGGGAATTGTTTTTCCACTAAATTTAAGCCATTTAACATTTATTGAGCACTTACTGTGCACCATGATGGTAACTGGAAAAGGGCAATAGACAGCAGGTTTAAACAGGATTAGTAACTGTTTTGTGAAAAAGAAGACTTCAACCTGCCTGGAGGGTGTCGAGAGAGGGAGACAGAGGCTGGTGGAAGAGGATGAGGAGGGCATTGTGGTTAAGGGGACACTTGGAAGGAGGCCTTTAAGGATGGGGGACTTGATAGGCAGAGAGGAGCAGAGTGGGGGGCACCCAGGAGAACACAGGCCAAGGCTTGGGAGCTGGAACGTGTTTCGATGGTTCAGGAGCAGTGAGAGGGTGGGGAGAAGAGGAAGGCTGGAGGTCTTGTTTGCAGTCAGATCATGAAAAGCCTTAAATAGTGGAGTCAAACCCCAAGAGTCTCAGCACAGGGCTCAGCTCAGGAGACACCTCCTCCTGGAAGCCTCCAGGCCCGTGCGTCACCTGGGCTCCTGTCAAGGCAGCGACCATTTTGTTTTTCTAGGCTATGCCGCTGTCTGGTTCACTGCTGCTCAGGGCCCGTTCCTGAGGAGCTGCCTGGAGCTTTTGATATTCAGGGGAGTCTGGTCCAGGCCCTCTATGCAGCCAGTGAGCTCCTGAGGCCCAGGGCCAGGCCCAGACCCGGTGTGGTTCCTGTGAGCCTGTGGTTCACTTCCCTGGCCAGGCTGGAGCAAGAGACTGGGGTATCACTGGGCCCCAAATTCCAGAGGATCCAGACAGTTGATCAAAAAGGGAAGAAAGCCAAGCTGCGGTTCAGAGAGAAAAATCCAGGTCAAGAGCCTGAAACCAGAGACACCGTGGTCCAGGCCCCACCCCACTACAGGGAATCCATTTCCAATGGCCTTGGTGAAAGCAGGTCTGGCATCTCCAGGACCTGGTTCATCTCTGGTTTGGACCCGGGCAGGCTCTGAGATTGGGGTAGCGGGTGGGAAGAGAGGGCAGCGCAGGGGGCAGCCCGTCAGCCCCTGCCTCAGCCCTCCCCAGCCCCCCGGCCCCCTGGCTTCAGCTTCTCCAGGGTTCTGCTCACGGTGGACAGGCTGCTGCGGGCTCCTGCGGGAGAGACCAGGACAGGGCTTGCTGAGTAGACAGGTCCCGGGTCAAAGCCACCCAGAGGGACACGGGGTCAGAGCGGGCTAGAATGGGGAGGGAGGGAGGCGCGGGATGGTCAGAGTGGCCCTTCTGGAGGACAGCAGCATGGTGTGGGTGTTAGAGGCAGGACTCGGGGCTGAAGGCCTGGTTTCTGGCCGCACCACCTCCCGGCTGCCTCACGTAATCTCCCTGTGCCTCAGTTGCCCCATATACAAAGTGGGGCTAATTATAGCACCTGCCTCATATGGCTGTTCTGAGAATGAAACAAATTAACATATGTAAAGTGCTTGGCAGGGTGTCTGGAATGGAACCTTCTGCTGAGTATAGGCACTTCCACCGGCAGCAGACACAGGATGGAGGCATCTTTGAGAAACGCTTGCTCTGGCATCTTCCAGTGTGTGGGGATGAGGGAGGAGGGAGATGCCCAGTTTCAGGTACCAGCTCTGACAGCTGGATTCCACAATGGAAGAGGAGAGTGAGAAAATAAGCGGGCATGGGGCCTAGGGGAGGGAAGGGGGCAGTGTGGTGCCATGCTGGGTCTGATAGAGAAACCCTGGGGACCAGAGGAGCTGAGCTCAGCTGGGAGCAAGAAGGGTTTTGACTAAGCTCATGGAAGAAATACCCAACGCTGCTGCCTCCCTGTGATCGGAGAAGTCCCCTCTGCACTTCCCTCAAGGTTTCTCTGGGGCCCCACAGAGATGTGCACCCAGAGGGGGAAGATGGCAGATGGACTCCTGGATTTCTGGAACTTACCTTCTTTATTACCATTGGCGCTGGATCTTCCTTCCCCGTGGTCTGGCCCTGGCTGGGGGTGGATTCTTAGGCTCCCTATAGGATGAGACCACCCCAAGCCCCCTGGTTACCAAGCCATTCTCAAATCAAGTCCAGCTTTGGGAAGGGAAGGCCTTCCTGTTATCTACTCTCCATCCCTGCTGCTGTCTTTGCTCCACTACATTCCTTTACGCCTCCCACGTGATCTGAGCTGATCTGGGGAGAGGAGTGAAGGTGGAAGAAATGGGCCCTGGAAGGAGAAGGTGGCAGATTTTTATTTTATTTTATTATTATTATTTTTTTGCGGTGCATGGGCCTCTCACTGTTTTGGCCTCTCGCATTGTGGAGCACAGGCTCCGGAAGCGCAGGCTCAGTGGCCATGGCTCACGGGCCCAGCCGCTCCACGGCATGTGGAATCTTCCTGGACTGGGGCACGAACCCGTGTCCCCTGCATCGGCAGGCGGACTCTCAACCACTGCACCACCAGGGAAGCCCAAGGTGGCAGATTTTTAAGGAGGTGGAGGTCCCGGGGAGACCCAGGGATATGTAGCCCCACAGGATTGATGGAGATGGGAGCGCATATGTGGGGAGCTGAGAAGAGGAGGGGAGCTGTACAAGGGTCCTAAGGTCTCACACACAGCCAGTACTAGCGACACACGTGGGCTCGGCTCCACTGCAGAGTGGGCCACAGACTTACAAACAAAGCGTCTCACCCAGTCCTCTGCTGGGGGCCGGGGAGAGGACTCACCTATCGTAGGCAGGATGTGGTCCAGGTTGAACCGAGCCTTCAGGAAGGGGTAGGCCAAGATGAGGAGCCCTGAGAAGAGAGACACAGAGGGGTTCCGTGATGGGGAGGGAGCCTGTTTAGTCTGAGCTGCATGAAGCTGTGGGCTGTGAGCCTGGGGGTGGATTATGGGTGAGCATGCGAGGAACCCCAGTGGCAGGGTTGGGACTGTGGGTGTGTAAATGCAGCCTGTGAGTGTGTGCGTGGGGGGTTCCCCAATACCCGGCCCCAGGAGGGGTTGGGGAGCAGTGCCTTCTGCGGAAGGGGCTACAGGCTGTGAAGGCCCAGGCTCCTGGCTCCACACCGCCCAGGTGATGAGCAGGTTGGCTTTCTTCCTTCCCAGCTGGCTGGAAATGGGCCCATTGACACTCCCCAACTCTCTGATGTCCCACCCTCCCCTAGGGCCCCCAGGGCAGGACTGGGGGTGCTCCTCAGTGTGCTCCTTTTCACCCAGACCTGGGGAGGGGGTAGCAGAAGAGCGGGTCCTGCTCTGCCCACTCCCAAGGGTCTGTGGCCCTTGGCCTGAGTTCACAGGTACAGATGCCCAGAGCCCACCAGCCTCGTGCTTCTGCTTCTGCTTGTGGCCCAGGGTGGCGGAGTGGGGCGAGGGATGGCACCCAACACCACGGTGAGTGGGACTGGCCCAGATAGACGGATAGATGCCTGGACAGACAGATCTGCTGCTGCGACATTTGGGAAAAGAAAAGGAAGCCCTCTCTCTGAGCTGGATCCTGTCCTGGCTCAAGGAGGGTCCCACAGAGGACTCTGTCCTCTTCCACCTGCCCCGCATCAACTCAGCCCCAGCAGGCTTAAGAGTCCCAACACTAACCCAAGAGCCCAGGGCTTGGGACTGGGAGCCGGAGCTGGAGTAGCCCAAGAGGAGTGGTCTCCAGCGCCTCCTCCACACCTGCCGACCCCTGCAGTGCACTGCGGGAATCTCACCCCAATCTCCTTCTCCCTCCCTGTACCCGCCCCCCCACCATGGCTGCCTTGCTCACACCTCTTGCTTCCATCCTCCCCAACCAAATTCCTGATGACCCAGCTCTTCCCTCCATTTCTCGTTCACCTGACCATGGCCCCGGCTCCCTCTCCGAGCCCAGCACCTGCTCACCCACAGCAGCGGCACCAATAAAGATTCCACCCACGGCAGCTGCAGCTTTGGACACGGAGACACCAATGATGATGCTGCCGGCCACGAGGCCGAGGGCCACGCAGGCCAGCTGCAGGCAGCGGAAGTCTCTGCTGCTGATGGGGATGTCCATGCAGGCCCACCCGGGGCACAGTCTCCAGCCAGCGGAGCCTTTTCCCCTGAAGAGCCCTGGAGGTCTCAGTCCTCTTGGATGTCTCCTTGCTGGAGCTCCACCTTTAGGGAAGGGAGTTTCTGGGCAGTAAGATTCTGGGCTGGTAACCCTTGGCTTTATCTGCAACCCTATCCGACAATAGTCTTAGCTAGGATCTCTCCCAGGTCGCCCCAGCTTACTCTTCCTCCCCTAAAGGCCCCTGAAGCTGGAAGCCACTCTCGGAACTTCTGCCTGGTCACATCCTGCCTTGGCTGCCAGAATTCTGGAGAGCTGGGACTGCCCCACGGGCTCCTCCCCTGTCAGCCTCCTCTCGGGAGAGCTCAGCCAGAGCTCCCCTGCCCAGGACCTCCTGCCCCAGCTCCCTGGAGCCTGCTCAGCTGCCACTGAGCCTCCGCCTATTAAAGTTTAACGCAATGGAGGTGGGAGGCGGGGCTGGTCCAGAGGACGTGGCTTCCTCAGAGATGCAGGCGGCAGGAGGTGCTGAGTTATTTATGAGGTTGCAATGTGAGCTGCTGCCCACAGGCCCACTAGGGCAGTCAGCCCAGGTTCCACTGTTGGTCCTGGACGGGGCAGGATGAGCGGGTGGCTTCACATGCAGCTCGGCAGCCAGAGACGTGAGGAGACTCCTTGGCCACATGCTCAGGACCCACTCTGCTGTCCCTTTGGTTGGAGGTGCACCTGGGGGCCTCTGCTTGGGGACTCAGAGACAGAGGCATGGAAGGAGACCTGGACGAGGCTCAGGAGACAGGAACAGCGACGGGGACAGGAGGAGGAGGGGGAGAGGGTCCTGCCAAGTCCCCTCGCTAACCCCGCCTCTCCCCCTCCCCCCTCCCATCAACCCCTGGGCCCCCAGGCAGGGCTGAGAGGTCCTAGTATGAGGACCATCTCAGGCGACCCTCTCCTCCTCAGGTAGGCTTCCTTTCAGTTGCCAGTGGACTGAGAAGGTGAGCCCTTCCATCTGCCCTGGGATCCCGGGCGGGGGGCTGACAGGGAAGAACAGTGGTGGGTGCAGGGGTGGGAGGAAACACAGGCAAGCTAGGGGGCTAGGGTTGGGAAGAGGAACTGGCAGGGGCTGGGTGTCAGCAGTCAGGGTCAGGAGACGGGGACAAGGCTGGCGCCTCCTGACCTCTGGGCTGAGCTCTGCCCAGCCTGTCTGACCTACTTGCAGAAGCCACCAAGTCAAGGCCGGGCAGCGGTAACCCAGCCCAGCCCGGCCCCGCACCCCAGTGCCAGCCCTCATCACTAATTGCATTCTCTGGCCGTTAATGTATCAGCACAGTTCCCAGGGTCCCATCACCAGCCCCACTGGCCTCTCTTTGGATCTCCGGTCTCTCCGCTCCATGTCTGCCGTCCGATGCAGCCAGGCCCAAGGCCTCTGGCCTCCACCTGCCTCCACAGCTCCTCCTGCCCCCGGCCCCCTCTTCTCCTCTGCGGCCCTTCTGCTAGTGTGTACCTGGCCTCTGCCATCTGGAGAACCCTCATCCTGCAGGACCCTGCTTGGGCAACCCCAACTCTGCAGAGCCATTCCTGACGGCACCAGAGTGGCTGCATCCCCACACTGAAGTGCCTGCCACCTGTCTCCTCTGTAGACGGTGAGCCCCCTGAGGGCAGGTTCAGGGCGTGAGCACCACTGAATGGCCAGTGGGCACCTGGGCTGGGCTTCTGGACACAAGGACAGAGCTCGGGGAGGGCTTGGACCTGTACGACCACCTCAGGTCGGCAAAGAGGAGGGCCGCGGGCACCATGGGACCTCTGTCTCTAACAGGAGGCTTTCCTGGGTGGGGGTAGGGGCCTGGGAAGGCCAGGGTCATCTGACTGAGCTTCAACTGAGGGAAGGCCCTGTCAGGAAGCTGGAGTGAGGCCTGGGCGGGGACACGTGTGAACTCAAAGGTTTGAAGAGAGGAGGGGTGACCGCAGAGCACTGATGGACCCCAGGGCCATGTTCCCGGCCCCCATACGAGGAAGGCCCTGGAGGTGGGCATCCCAGCCACAGCTGCTGCTGCCAACATCCCCTGTGCCTCTCGCCAGGATGAGGTCTGATTATTCCTCTAATTAGGCATCAAATGACAACCCATGTCCGTGTCATACAATTTATCCCCCACTGACTAGTTTTAGAAGGAGGCATCAAAATAGTTGTCCATGAAAACGTATTCCTGAGACATGAAGCTTTGGGAACCTGAACACCCTCCACAATGCGCCCCCCCCCCCACCCCTATTAAGTGTTTGCATAACTCCGGCCGGGCAGGGCCTGTGCCGGCTCCTCTCCTGGTGTCAGGCTGAGGGCGACGCTCCCATACCATCAGCAAGACAGAGGCTCCCCGGCCACATCTCCGAGGTGGGAACCTTGCACTGTGGGACTCACTTTGCTCATCTGGTGAATGGGGATGGGGATGGCAGGGGCCAGAGTCAGGGATGCCTGTGCCTTGTGAGTTTCAGATTCCAGAACACCCTGACCTCTAAAAACTGGAGACAAATTCTAAATTAGAGTTTTCCTTTGACACTGTAAATCCCTCAGGGCACAGAGGCAGAGCTGAGCATATGGAGGAGAGACACATTAAGCCACCATCGGTTACAAGATCACAGAACCTCCCAGCTCCTTTCCAGAACAGATAGGGAAACCGAGACATGGGGAGGTGGAAGGACGGCTTCAGGGTCCATGATGGAACCCAACGTCCAGATTCCCCGCTCAGCTGGGAAGTACGCTAGCACATCTCTAAATTATCTTATTTGAGGTGGGAGGAATTGGCAACCCCATCATTAGAGGGAGACATGGTGTTCAGAAGAATCAGTCGAGGCCTGCGTCGTTCCCGCATGACAGGAGTATCACTAAAGGCTACTGGAAACTTGTGACACCTGCTCCTCTGTTGATTACAAATGTAGAGAGGGAGACTTGCCAATTCTTTCCTCAATACTGGCTGTACCAGCTCTGAAGAAGAAAGTGCGTGCTTGCCCTTGGGTGATGAGCTTACTGGCACAGGTGGACGAGATGGGAGCCCAAGGCTCTAGAGCCTGACCACCCCACACTTCCCCATCCCCGAGCTCAGAGCCCTCCTAGCTGAAGCCTCGATCCTCCAGGCCCCCAGATCCAGAGAGTGGCTAGGCCGTGAGCCACTGCTGAATTCTGTCACAAAATCTCTTTGTCTGACAGGGAGGCCAGGGCTGGAGGGTGCCTGCCTATGCTCTTTCCTTCCTGGAAGCACCAAGTCCAAGGGTGGCATGGGGGTGGGGAGAAAGAGTGGGTGAAAAGGCCTCAGCTTGGTTTAGTTCTGTTTATTTTCCTTGAGGGGTGAGGACCTTGGAAAAGAGCTTGATTAATTCACCGATCCCCTGGGGGACAGGCAGCTTTCCCGGACTGTTTGGAAGCTGAAGTCAGGGAAGTGGCTTCCAAGGCAACTGCTACCATGGCAACAAGAGTGCCAGCCGTGGGGGGACCTTGCTTCTCGCTGCTCCCCTCAGACCTCAGCAGCTGGAGCAGTTGGCATGGGACTAGGGCACTGCTGTTCACCAAGCTGGATCTGGAGAGGGGCAGTCAGCCAGAAGGGAGGAGGGGACCTCAGAGCTCAGGCAGGTGGACACTTGGAGGGAGAAAGACTCCATCCCTGTACCTGAGCCCCCAGACGGAGCTCAGACAGGAGTCCTCAGGGTCCATTTGAATCAGGACGGGCTGGGGCCGAGGCCTGCCGAGACTGGATTTGAGGCAAGAAGCCTGAGGTCCAGGACACTCCAGCCCTCTCCTAAGGGCAGCCCGCACGTGAGCCCTAGAGCTGGGGCTCTGGCTGCCACAGTTCCAGGCCCCAGAGCCTCCCTCAGCATGTCTGCCTCTGCCCAGCAGAGCCAGGCACATGGCCTGGTCCCCAGAAAGGGCAAGGGACTTCCCAAGGTCACCTAGTGAACAGTGGTAAAGGAAGGACTAGGACCCAGGGCCCCAGCCCCCAACCTGGCTCTTCCCGTGGCATAACAGCTGCCCCGTGGGGACAGGGACCCCCACCAAGAGGGACAGAGCAGCCTGCCAGCAGGAGGATCCCACAAAAGGCCAGAGGCCAGCCCCGTGTGGAAAGGCCAGACACATCTCCACCCACACAAGCCAAGAAGAAGGTTTCCTCATCTCCATCACTGGGGCCCAGTTGAGCAATTCTGCCCTAGGAGACAACAATAAAAGTAACTACAACCATCACGGCTACTGTAATATTTATTGAGCACTTACTATGTGTGCTTGGAACTGCTCTAAGCACTTTACATTTATTAATTTGTAACTTTCACAGTAGCACCACGAGGTAAGCACTAGCCTCCCCAATTTTTGGTTTAAGAAGCTGAGGCCCTCAGAGATTGTGTAACTTGCCCAGGGCCCAAGGCCAGTAAGTGGAAGAGCTGGGATTTGAACCCAGGTAGCACAGCTCTGGGTATCAGGTCTCTGGGAAGAATTCCAGTTCTACCTTCCTAGCTCTACAGCTGTGGGCAAGCTATTTTTTTCCTTTTTCCCCTTGTTTTTTCATGTTAAGTGGGGTAAAATAGCACCTTACCTCATATAACTGCTCTGAGAATTAAATGAGATAATGCCTGTGAGCTTCTCAGAAAGCACTTGTTACTTAGTAAGTGCACAATAACGCCAGCAAAACCAAAGTAGGCACAGTAGCATTTAAGCAGAGCTGTGGATGAGAGAGGCCTTGCCAGGTGGACCTGGGGAGTGGGATGGGTGGAATACTCGGTCCAGGAAGCTCCTGTAAGTCACATCCCTGCTGGACCAACCTGGAGGATTGACCAGGGTGGGGCTGGAGTCCAGAGACAAAAGTCACACCCTGCTTCCCAGTCTCCAGGGACAAGGAGACTTTGGGTCAAAAGGCTCAGATTCTGCAGGCCAATTTATCCAGCCCATCCCACACCGGGTAGATGAAGAGGGGACGTGAGGATGGTACGGGTTCCTGCAAAGGAAGGACCATCAACAAAAAGTATGTCCTCGTTGACATGGAGGATTCACGGTGCAGAACACCTGGCAGCCTGGCCCATGACCTGCCCCCACAGGGAAGAGCCCCGCACCCCATCTCGGCTCTCTGCTCCCACAGGGAGCAAAGCTGGCAGCAGCGCTCAGTCTTCTGCCCTGACACTCAGACCTCCCTCTGCCACCTCCTTGGGAATTTCTAAAGGCCCTCCCCATACAGTCCTCTGAGTCTGGTTCTGAGGATTACTAAGGCAATGCGCACAGAAGCCTTCTGCTCGAAGAACGTGAGGACTGTGGATCGAGGGGCCATTTTTCTTTGTTACTAACGCTGGCAGGACAAGCACAGTCCCAGGCACACGATGGAGCCACAAGAAAGGCTTAGTGCTGCTTCAGACAGACGGGACTCTGCTCCACTTGGGTGGGTGGGCTGCGCTGGGTACAGGGCACGCCTGTTAAAGTGCTTTTTGAAGCCAGCTTGTGTGATGGTTGCTGACACGGCCTCTTCCACTGGATAGGGAGATCCTAAAAGGCAGAGGCTGTTTCCCACTTATCTCTGGGTCCTGGCACAGAAAAGGAGATTGACAAATGTTTGATGAATTTCATTTCCTCACCGAAAAAAGAGAAGCAATGATCCCTTCTTCACCTTGTGCTATATTCAGAGGTCTTGACAAGGGGCAACCCCCCTTGGCTGGACCCAGCCCCTCTCTAGAAGGCCTGTCTCCTCCTCAGGGTTGCAGGTGAAGAAAGGACCACCAGGAAGGCACTAGAATTTAAAACAGTTTTATTAAAATAAGCACAATGCATAATAACATCCTTGTGTTGTCAAAACATCTGACATATGCAAACAGATTTTCTTAGATAACTAAGCAGCTCCGCTGATGCTCAGCTATCAGCTCCCCAGCAGAAGGCACCACACGGCTCAGACCAGGGTGGCTGGGCAGCCTCCGGACTGGCTCCACATCAGGCACAGAGCTCCTCAGTGCCCCAGACCTGCGCTGCCCTCCACACCAGGCTCGAGGAAGGTAGCAGCAGACACACTGGTCTCTGAGTCACTCATCATCTGAACAGCTTAAAACCAGTTAGAGTAACAGGAAGTAGCTCATTAAAACCCTCCAAGTGCATGGAGGTTCAGGAGAGAAAAATGAACCCTAAGAGCTCTGCAAAGTCCGTGGGCTCACAGTGGGAGTTTAAAGTCTCATCTTTGTCGGAAGAGCACGGTTAGAAAAAATGCCAAATATTGTAAAACACGAAATAATACTGACTTCAGCAGCAATCCCAAACAAAGTAGAGGATGATAAATGACGGACACATTTTGGTCATGGCAAAGAAAGATTATGTGCTTCTCTGAGCCATCGACTGGAAGACGGATCCGGCCTCCTGAATGCAGAAGGCTCCCTGCCCTCCCCTGAATCGAGGGGACGGCTTCCCTCAGCCAAGGGGGAGGACGTCCGGAGGACAGAGGAAGGTGGAAGGACCGCCAGAGGGGGGTGACAGTGCAGAGAGAGGGAAGAGCCTCTGTCAACTGACGCTTCTCAAGGCTGGCTCCCTGAAGGCCGCAGCCCCAGCCGGTGAGAGCGGGCTGGATCCTCGATCCGCAGGCGGGTGAGCAGGTGGGCAGGAGCCCAGTAAAGAGATGTCCCTGCCGCAGGCAATTATGCAAAGTGACAAGTGATAGTTTGCCTTTCAAAGACAACCCCTTAGGAAAAAGCTTTTTCCTTGAGGACTCTGGGGAAAGGAGGACGAGAGCCTTTGTGGATGAAAAGGCCTGGATGGAGCCGCAGAGCAGGCCCCTCACAGGTTTCCAGTGGGGCCAGGCCTGGGGCCCGGAGTGGGACAGAGCGCTGTGGGTGTTGGGCTCGGTTGCGTGTCTCCACTGCGGCCTGCCTGGGTCAGCGCCCTCCGGCGGGCCAGACGTGACTTGGAGGGAGGGGAAAGCTTCACGGAGCAGAGGCCCTCGGCCAGCGCCTCTGACTCCTTCGCCAGTTCATTCTCCTCATGCTGAGACAGCTGGCGGTTAAGGGCGATGGCCTCGGCCGCAAAGAGCGTCAGGTCCATTGTGCTGCTATTTCTGCAGGGATGGGGGAAGCAGAGAAGAGAGGGAGGCAGGGCTCAGTGGGGTCCGCCAGCCAGCTCCTCGACACCCGCACCAGTTGCTGCAGTACTATGCTCCCACTGGAATTTTCTGAGCTGGCACAGGCTGCTCTCTGAAGTTCTTGCATGGGTTTGGAATCTGACTTCACTGGGGCTGGAAAGGCTTTGAGCCTCAAGGACAGTCTCTGGACTTAAGAGTTGGGACAAGTGCCGCCTTCCATCCAGAGCCCCCTCTTCTGAGCCCTGCACACGCTCTACCAGAGGAAGGGTCATGGCACTTGAAACTCACCCACGTACATCGCTCTCCCCTGTCAGGACAGGGGGCTCCAAGAGCAGGGGCTGTGCCTTTACGTCTGTGTCCCCAGAACCCAGCTCAGGGCTAGCATGTAACGGGCACTCTGGGTTTGCTGAATCAGTTTTCTAAGGTGGATCTGAGGTTTGGAGCCTCAAGGCATCTGGATGCAGCTCTAAAGAATCAGGGAGGAACCCAAGCTGGGCTCAAATGAACTGTGACTATAAAGGTGTAATACTTCCCTGTTTAACTCCCGGAAACTGGCCAGGAGGTTGGTTCCCAGAGGGCTTCCCATGAGGCTTTATTTAGCCCTGGCCCTTGGGGAATAGGGAGTGCTCACTGGGAACATGATCTAGTGTTAAAAGGCACTAGAGTCAAACACATCTGCGTTCAAAGTCCCACTCCCTAGGCTACTGTGTAGCCTTGAGTAAGTTAACTTGATTTATCTATACCTCAGTTTTCTCATCTATAAAATGGGGCAATAGGAGCACCTCTTTTTTAAATGTATCATAAAGCTTATGAGATTCAATATATGTAAAGCCCTTAGTACGATACCTGGCGGGTGGTTAAGTATTTCCTATACAGTGGCCATTATTATTGTTTGTCTAGTAGTATATATGACACTTGGTCTCTCTGCCTTACAAGGCCCCAGGTTCCTGCTACTTTCACCAACCCGCAGTGGTAGAAGGAAACCTTGGTATGCTTCGGGCTGTAAATAGTGATTTCGTTAGGATTCATGTGGATCCAGAAAACAGGTTTTTCTCCTGCAAACAGCCTAAGGCGGGATCTTAAAGATGCTGGGGCAGGGGAAGCCATCCAGGTGGAAGAAGAGAAGAGAGGGAGCCAGACCTAGTGTAGAGGGAGACAAGGAAGAGGAGCAAGGAGAGGGGGGCCAGGAGCCCATTCAGGAAGAGGATACCTGCGCCTAGAGATGGACTCCCCGTCCCCCACAGGGGGATGGGCCCCAGTGTGGCTGAGAGCTTGAGGGGAAAGTCAAAGCCAAATGAGCAAGGGCGTGGAGTGCAGCAGGAGCATTTACCTCTGGAGGACTTGCGGCGTGGGGAGTCCCCTTTCTGGAGCTTGCTAGAACGGGAAGGACAGATGTGTGGGTAAGCGCTGCTCCCTCTTTCAAGAGCTGCCCCCACCCAAGCCAGCAGAGTGGGTAGGGTACTAGAGGCTCGGGCCCAGCACAGGGACTTGCCCATGCATGCCTGCAGGGTCAGACCTTCCAAGGAGACAGAAAGCAAGGTACAGACCCCAACCGAGCTGCCTCTGCATGGAGAGCCCTCTCTTTACCTGGCAAAGTCCTAATCACCCTCCGAGACCCAGCTCCAGGGTCACTTCTCCCATGAGACAGTCCCCCTTCCTTGCTGCCCCCCAACCCCTGTCCCAAGCAGAGGTGGGTCCTTGTCCTTTGGTGCCCTGAACACTTTTTTTTTTTGTTTTGTTTTTTTGCGGTACGCGGGCCTCTCACTGTTGTGGCCTCTCCCGTTGCAGAGCACAGGCTCCGGACGCGCAGGATCAGTGGCCATGGTTCACGGGCCCAGCCGCTCTGCGGCATGTGGGATCTTCCCGGACCGGGGCGCGAACCTGTGTCCCCTGCATCGGCAAGCAGACTCTCAACCACTGCGCCACCAGGGAAGCCCCTGAACACTTTTGATAACACTTTTGACGTACTATCCTATCATTTATTCCCTTGGTTCCCTCTCCCCATCAGAACATGAAGACAGAGCTTGGGTCTCGCTCCTCCCACTACTGCCAGTGTCTGGCATGTGGTAAGTGCTCAGTGGTGCAGCACTTGGGTGGCTGCAGCAGCTCTTGGGTGGTTGGGAATCAGCCACTTGGAGACCCATGGATTGGGTTCCCACCTGTAACTGGGGCTGGCAACGCTTGCTTCCTTCCACTGAGGCTGGCTAGGGACTGGCAGACCAAGAAGACACAGTAAATCACAGGAGGTTTGGCAGACCCTTTGGAGGGACAGAGGTCTGGTATCATGATTAACTGAGGAGGATGGTTAAAAATGTTTTCTAGTGAAGACTTGGAGCTTTCCTTTGGGGAAAACACCAGCCTTTGCCTTTCAGGAAAGCTGCAGCCAGACCCCAGCAGCACAAGGGGAACCTATGAGCCCCCAGTGCAGCCGCACAGCAAGCAGGGTGGAAAGGCCTTGTTTCTGCGTGCTCTCAGCTAAGGAAATTTCTGTATAAGGGGATGGTGCTACCATCCAGACTGCTCCCTCTGCTGGGTGCCTCTGCCAATAGTGGGACGCACATGGAGAATCTCCCAGAGGCCTCTTCCATTCCAGAGGGGCATGCGCCGCCTGGGGCTTAGTCTGTGGCCAAGGTTAGAGCCGAGTCAGTGATATCTGTAAGGCACTCGGTGTGGGGTTAGGCCAGGGGTCAGTTCAGTTCTACGTGCACAGGGGTTGAAGCTGCCATCCGGCTCCCTCCAGCTGAGATCAGCCACGGGGGTGTCAGAGCTTCCTCATGCCTTGCAGCAGCCCTGAAGAGGTGGACGCCCCCACCCCCCCAACCAGTCACTCACCCCCTGCACCCACGGGTGCTGCAGAACTTGGGCGGCACTCAGTCTCTGTTTCACGTCTCGAACCAGGAGCTTGGAGATGAGGTCTTTGGCCTCGTTGGAGATATGAGCCCAGTCCTTGTCAGGAAACTCATACTTGCCTTCCTGGATGCTCTCAAACAGCTTGTTCTAGGTAAAGAAAATTCCTACTGAGGCCACACTGGCCAGGGGATGGGCAGGGTGTGCCTGTCATGGTCTGATCATGTGGGTCCAATCGACCTCAGCTGCACCTGCGGCTAGTGGCCTGGGTGTTTCCCAGACTAGGGCCCCTTCCCCAACCCCCACCCTCCCCTAAATCATCCAACCACAGAGAACACCCTGGGTGGGTGGGATGGCAATGCTACTTGGAGGGCCAGGTGGGTGATGAGTGAGGAATGTCAACTAGAGAACAATGCCCAATTCCTCGGCCTTTCATCCAGGGCCCTCCATCCAGATGACCGGGCTCATCTCCCGCCACCAGAATCCTTATCCTTCCTCTTCCTCCCTCAACATACACCACTGTTTCAAACCTCCTATCTTTGCTCGTGCTGTTCCTTCTGCTTGCATTTCTTGCCTCTCTTCCCCTCCTGGAGGGGGCCAGACTCCTCCTTTGAGACTCACTCAGCTCAGGAATGATATTCTCTAACAATCCTCCCCTGAACTCCTCTCTGGACTGAGGGCCTGATGATCTCCATCTCACCTGGTGGCTGCTCTTGGACTGAGAGGGAAGGGCACGATATACCCCATTCCAGATCAGGCACAATCACCAAGCCCAGTCCTGCTTGGCCTCCCCCAGCCACCTGACCTCCCAGCAGGCCCTGTGCTCACCTGGCACACTGTGCAGACCTCTCCCCGGTCCCAGCCACAGTCGGCTCCGCAGTGACCCACAAAGGGCGGGTAGCCACTCAGCATGATGTAGAGGACCACACCCAGGCTCCACAGGTCACAGCGCTTGTCGTAAAAAGTGGCCTTATCCGTGAAGACTTCTACCACCTCAGGGGCCATATACTCTGCAGAGCCACACTGGGCGGGGCCAGAGGTGGAGATGGGGAAATGGCAGAGAAGAGAGAGGCTTAGTCACAGGGAGGGGACCGTAATGGGACTTGAGCAAGAGGATGGAGTTGCAGAGTAAGAAGCTGTTGAGAAAGTCAGCCAGAGAGCTTGACTGGTGCCACCCAGGCACTTAGAAAAGCTGGGCCACTAGACATTTGTAAACTGAGTCCTATCATTCCCCACAATCCACAGGACCAGTTAGTTCCAGGTCACCTTATCTTCTCAGGTCCTTCTCCAGTAGGCAGAGACCCTTGGTCAAGAAGCTCCAGGAATCTCTCCCTGCCCTGGCTCTCTGTAAACAGTCACTCAATGAGCAGATACTTCAATGTACCAGGAGCATAGCTCTTGGGAGGAGATCCAATTCCATAAAGCAAGGATTTCTTTCTTTCTTTTTCTTTTTATAAATTTATTTATTTATTTATTTATGGCTGAGTTGGGTCTTTGTTGTTGCACGCGGGCTTTTCTCTAGTTGCGGCGAGCGGGGGCTACTCTTGGTTGCGGTGCACGGGCTTCTCATTGTGGTGGCTTCTCTTCTTGCGGAGCACGGGCTCTAGGCATGCGGGCTTCAGTAGTTGTGGCTCATGGGCTCTAGAGCGCAGGCTCAGTAGTTGTGGCACACAGGCTTAGTTGCTCTGTGGCAAGTGGGATCTTCCCGGACCAGGGATCAAACCTGTGTCCCCTGCATTGGCAGGTGGATTTTTAACCACTGCGCCACCAGGGAAGCCCAGCAAGGATTTCTTAAAGTGAAGTCCTGCCAAGCTTCCCTGCTAGCTTTGAGCATGGAAGAATAAGAATTTAGAATTAAGAGACCATCAAAGCTAGGAGAGCTCTTAGAACAAAGCTGATCTCCTCACTTCTCCCATTTATGGATGGGAAAACCAAGGACTAGAATGGGACAGGGATTTGTTCAAGCACATCAGTGGCAAACCCAGGTCAAGAATCCAGGAGTCCTTCCTCCCATACTTGCATAGAAGACTGCTGATAAAAACAAAACAAACTTTTTGCTTCCCTCTTCATTATTTCAGGCTCACCAGGAGGCAACCCTCCCCCCAGCCTTGCAACACACACAACTAATTTGATGGGAAGATGGTGAGTGGAGAAAGGACATTTTCTTTGTTATTGGCAATCAGAGTTAATGCCTTTGAGAATAAGGTAGCTCAGTGTAGTAGAAGCTAATACAGAGACATCTCTAATAATGTTGCTTAGAATGAGACATGGGCATATTTTAAAACGTCTTAAAAAAAGATTATTAGGGACTTCCCTGGTGGAGCAGTGGTTAAGAATCCGCCTGCCAATGCAGGGGACACGGGTTTGAGCCCTGGTCTGGGAAGATCCCACGTGCCGCAGAGCAGCTAAGCTCGTGCGCCGCCACTGCTGAGCCTGTGTGCTGCAACTACTGAGCCCGCGTGCTGCAACGAAGAGTAGCCCCCTGCTTATCGCAACTTGAGAAAGCCCGCGCACAGAAACAAAGGTCCAATGCAGCCAAAAAAAAAAAAAAAAAAAAAAATTAGGAAAACTCACTTTTGAAGTGTGCAAATCTCAAAAGAATTATAATAATTATAGTATATCCAGTATGTACAAGAGATGTCTTAGTAAGAAATAGCTCCCAGCAGCACCATCTGGGCAGGAAATGGGAAGTAAGAGAAGCAACAGGATAACTCAGCCAGGCCCTTACGTGCAAAGACCTCTCAGTTCTTGCCAGAGGCCACGCTCCCTAACCTTCACCGTAAGGTGGACGTGCCCCGACTCCACCACGGGAATGGGAGCTGTCCACATGCTCATATGCAAGAGTGGGCTGAGAGCAGTGTCTGTCTTCACCTGGGTCAGGAGTCAGGGCTGAGCCCGTTCTTATGGGTATAATTAGTCTCCGCATTAGCAGTGCACCCACCCCAAACTGAAAGCTCTAATGTCAGTTCCACTAGCACCTAAGCAGGGGAGGGGTGGGGGATGGGGGTGGTTGTGAAGATAAGAAGTGAGGCCAAACAACAACTCAGGCAGCAGCAGATACACTTGGTTTCCCTTCCTTAGCCCTCTGTTCTGGTCTCCAGAGCATTAGGGACAGGAGCTCAGAAGGAGAGGGCACAGGTGCCCAGCCATACATACTGGAGTGGTCAGCTCTGGTGTGGTTATGGGGGTGCAGGAGTTGTTCAGTTTCACCCCACTGCCCAAGTCAAAGTCACATATTTTCACCGGAGACACCTGAAACGGAAAGCAGGAAGCAACGTTACAAATAGGAGCAGCCAAGGGGCGTAAGGAGACAGCGTGTCTATGTGGGTATATACTGCCACAGTGTGGCTGCCACACTGAAGCCCAGCTTTACCTGGCAGTCATGTTTCCTCTTCTTGAGTGAACTAGAAATCACCTGAGGATTTGTCCTAAGGTGTCCTCTTCTCCATGCTCTTTCCTTATTTCCCGACTAGGAGAAAATGTGTGCACTACACGGGGTCAGACTGTGGTTGCGAACTTCGTATAAGACAAGGAGCAAACCTATGGAACTCTCGCCAACAATGTAGGTTGCAACTCAGAAGTTAGAGAAGTTAGCACGTATTCCTGAAAGACTCCTTGTAGCTCACTCACTGCAGGGCAAAGGAGTTTTGCATAAAACCCTTGACCACCTCAAGTGGCTTAGGGTGGCCAACCCGTCTTTGCTTACTTGGGGTTTTGTTGGGTTTAAGCACCGGAAGTCCTGCATTCCAGGAAATCCCTTAGGCCCGAGCAAACTGGGATGGTTGGTCACTCTAGGCAGCATCAACATAGCAGCCCAGTCCACTGGGACTAGATGCTGCGCCTGAGACTGCAGAGAGCATGAGTCATCTCTGGAGCCAAGTGGGAGGCACTGTGCGAGTGCATGAGAATGGCCTGCGTGGTGGAATAGCACAGCAGCCAGTCAAAAGTGCTAGGCCCCATTTGCCATTTACCTACTGCAGCTCCCACCTCTCTTTCTTTCCTCCCTCCCTTTTCTCTGCCTTACATTCTAGCTTTCTTCTTTTCTTTTTCACTTAGCTTCTCTTTTTCACTGTGGTTAAAATATATATAACAGAAACATGCCATTTTAACCATTTTCAAGTGTACAATTCAGTAGCATTATTACACTCATGCTGTTGGGCAACCATTACCAGTATGTTTCCAAAACTCACATCACATCAAACAGAAACTCTACCCATTAAGCAATAACTCCCCATTTCCCCTCTCTCCAGCCCCAGTAACATTTAATCTACTTTTCGTCTCTATGAATTTGCCTATTCCAGATATTTCATATAAGTGGAATCACACAAAATTTGTCCTTTTATTTCATTTAGCATACTGGTTTCAAGGTTCATCCATGTGGTAGCACGCGTCAGAACTTCATTCTGTTTTACGGCTGAACAATATTCCATTATATAGATATACCACATTTTGTTCAGCCATTCATCTGTTGATGGACACTTGGGCTGTTTCCGGCTTTGGCTATTATGACTAGTGCTGCTATGAACATTGATGTTCAAGTCTCTGTCTTCAACTCTTTTGGGTATATACACAGGTGTGGAATTGCTGAGTGCTATGGTAATGCTATGCTTAGCTTTTTGAGGAACTGCCAAACTGTCTTCCACAGTGGCTGAACTGTTTTATATTCCCACCAGCGATGGGGAAGAGTCCCAATTTCCCCACATCCTCATCAACTCTTTTTATTTTCTATTTTCTGTATTGTAACTATCCCAGTAGGTGTGGCATGGTATCTCACTGTGGTTTTGATTTGCATTTCCCTGATGACTAAGGATGTTGAGCATCTTTTCATGTTCTTTGTTTTTTTTTTTTTGGGGGTATGCGGGCCTCTCACTGTTGTGGCCTCTCCCACTGTGGAGCACAGGCTCTGGACGCACAGGCTCAGCGGCCATGGCTCATGGGCCCAGCCGCTCTGCGGCATGTGGGATCTTCCCGGACCACGGCACGAACCCACGTCCCCTACATCGGCAGGCGGACTCCCAACCACTGCGCCACCAGGGAAGCCCCTTTTCATGTTCTTCCTGGCCATTTGTATACCTTCTTTGGAGAAATGTCTTTTCAAGCCCTTTGCCCATTTTTAAATTAAGTTGTCTTTTTGATATTGAGTTTTAGAAGTTCTTTATATATTTTGGATATTAAACCCTTATCAGACATATGATTTGCAAATATTTTCTCCCATTCTATGGGTTGTTTTTTCACTTTCTTGATGATGTCTTTTTACACTCAGTCTCTCTTAATTTTAACGTCAGCCATAAAAAGGGGCAACAAACCTGTGTCATGAAGATCAAATGAAACAAAGGACATGAAAGTACACTGTAAACCAGAGGCACTATGACAGCGTAGTTCAGAGCACCAGTGGAGTCTGGGGTCAGACTACCTTAGTTTTAATCTCTACTACTTAACAGCTGAGTGACTTTGGGCAAGTTTCTAAATCTACCTAAGCTTCAGTTTCCTTATCCCCATAAAATGAATATAATAATAGTGTCTAGCTCATGAGATTTTATAAATACTAGATAAAACAAGTGTAAGTGCCTGGTACAATGTTAAGTGCTCAAGAAATGTTAAACATAATTATTAATAATAACCATAATGATAATCATGATAAATCAGAAAGTTTTATGCCAGAGCCACTGACAGGAAGTCACAAGATTTATTTGAGCGAATACATTTCTATTCCCCACAAAAGCATTGTAAGTAGCAGGCTGACTCACATGTTCCCTCACAGCCACTCCTTATTTATGAGTTCTCCCCTAATCCAGACCAAGACACGTGTGTCATGCATAGGCACATGTATACACACACAGCTAGGAATGTGGGCCATCAAAACCACCTGGGCCTAAGTCCCTCCTAACAAACAAAGACTTTGTCAAATTCATACATGCTATGAAGATGCAAACACTTCCATTTACTAATAGATTAAGATAAAGATTAAAATAGGCTGCATTTGTTCAACACCAAGTATAAATGCCTTCTTTTTAATGGGCATCTTTGGAAGTAAAAATGGAAGCAGAAACCCTGTTCAAGAACTTGCTTCCTAATTATCACTTCTAGTGGTGGACACCGGCAGGCATATATAGCATAACATAAACATCATTTACAGGGACCTGCTTGATGTAAGATGGAGGTGCTGTCTGACTCACATCTACTGCTCTAAAGGTAGGTGCATCGGATTAGAAAACATTCATTTTGTGCAGGTCTCATATATTTTACAAACACTCAGGCTTAAGCCAATCTGCTGATAAAGAGCACCGAAGGGCCAAGGATTAGCCCTACTTGGGATGTAGAAACACTACCCGTTAGGTATAATATTCTCATGTGCCTATAATAATCAGTTCAACTTGGTACCTGAGGCCGAGAGAGCTGCTAATGATTTACACTGAAAGTAAGGGTGGCTTCCCTGAGTCAGTATGAACCGTGACATCCCAAATCAGGCCCTAAGTACCTTTTCTGGAGATTCACACAATATATTTTCTGGCTTCAGATCGCGGTGAGCAATGCCTGAAATGACAAACAGCAAAGAAATGGTTAACATATGCACTTGAGTATCAAACATTCCACACACAATTAATTTTTTCCAAATGCTGTTGTTCGCAAATTAATTCCCAATTATGGTACATTAAAAAATCAACTAGCTGCAGGAGGCAGAAGTAACCAGAGACGCAAACCAAAAGCACAGTTGATTCTGCAAGTTCTTTTGAAGCGAAAGCTTTAGAAGTCAGTCAGGGATAAGAAGGGCTAAATGAATCCCAGCCAGCCTACCTCTCAGCACCGCACTGACAACCCAGAATAAGCAGTCTAATATGAAGCAGAGCAAAGAGCCCTGCAAACAGCGATGCTTGGAACAGCAATGAAGAAATAATTAGTGCCTTGTTTAAGAGCATCTCAGGGGGCTGGGACTGCTCTACCTCATTTCTTCTTGTGTGGCCGATTCAAAAAAAAAAAAAGATTCCTTCAGTGGGACTCCCTGAATGTTCAGAGGATCAAGCGTTAGTTAACAAGTCTCCCAAAGCTTGTCTGGTTCCCTTCTCACCTGCTCTGCATGTCCAAGACAGTCCTGCCAGAAGCTCAGCAAGGACAGCTTTGGCCCGAGGGTGCTGTTCTTAAGAGAAACCTCTCCTGTATTTTGGTCAGACCTCCCTGAAGAAGACTGCAGATTTACAGCCTACCCTGTGAGGCATTAAAAGTTGCTGAACTGGCCAAGAAGGCACCTGGGGGCAAACCCCTTTAACCAAAGACAGAGACAAAGAACCAACTCATGGCCATGGTGTTCTAGTGGTGGACACAGAAACCTCCCATTCCTTTTTCCTCCTGCAGAGTGTACGGCACAGAGATAGAGGGCTGTAAAGTCAAGCAAAAGCCAAACAGCTACTGCTTGGAAGTACTGGGAAGCAGCAGAGGATTCGTGGAATAATGGGGAAAAGCAGACTCTGCTTCACTACAACTCCCTTGCTGATCAACTTCTCAGGCAGCCCTCTAGATCCCCAGCAGGAGGCACTCCACTAGGGAAGAAGAACCTGAGCTCCAGCAGCCTAAGTAACTTCATCACTCACATAATTGAATGAGAACCCAGAGCGACTACGTCCAGGCTGCACAAATTGAGCTGGGCTGCAGCTCGCTGCGTTAAAAGTGAAAGATATTTTCCATTACAGCAAATGCTCCCACAAAAGGATCATGAGCCACACGTGGAGGCTTACTCTCCAAATAGGTGCCGATGGCCCCGTTGTCCCCTGGCCTGCGAACTGAGAGTCAGGCTGTAATAGTGGGCCTCCTCCGTGAGCACACCGGCCATCGAACTGCTCCGGTTCATTTCCCAGAGGTTGAGCTGCAGTATGTCCAGTATTTAAAATACGGAACTTGTTTCAGGCTGACCCGTTCTAGCCCAATTCATCTTTCCAGCATAAAGTTATTTAGAAAACAGCCAAGTTCAGCTGCAAATCGTTTTTCATCCCCTCCAACTTCTAGTCACATGGGCAGCTGGCCAGCTAGATGTTAACTAGCACTTCAGAACTCCTAAGACACCACCAGCCTCTGTTCCCTGTAGTGCATTCTGGTAAAAAAAAAAAAAAAACAAACACAAAAAAAACACACAAAAAAACCTGCCTTTACCCCCCTCCAAGGTATGGATCTTATAAAAAGTGTGACCCAGTTTTGCAATCTACAGAGGCAGCTTGGGGAGCAGTTGTAAATCTCTGTCAGGCCGGTGTTACGTACATGCATCCCAGCTTTCAGAAACAGAACTGCTGCTATTCATCATGCTGTGCAAAGTACAGACACCCCCTTCTAGGAACTTTCATCCCATGTGCAAGTCAGGCCCCCAACATGGGCAGCATCAGCATGGAGCACTCTCCTCAGCCACGGGAGGAAGCGAGGTGGACTGGTGAACCTCCCCTCCGGCACGTCTCACCAGTCTGCACGGTATCACTGGCACATAGTGGTATGCGGGAGCAGCATGCCTGCAAGTGGACCTGAGTGCTCACAACCAATGAGGCTGGCCAACGTCCATGGAAGTGAAGGGAGCAGAACTAAGTCTCAGAGCATGAGACCCCCACGCCCGCCAGGCAGAGTGCGTAATTTTAAGGGAATCAGTATGCGGAGTAAAAATGCCTTCTGCCTGGTGGGGGAGGAGGGTGGAAGAAATGTTACTGAAGAACTACTATGTGCTGGGCACTATGCTCCACCTATATATGTATATGTTATAAGTATACAACACATACACAAGAGACACACAATTATGTAAGTGAATCAATACATATAAAAGGCCCAGGATAGTGCCTGGCACATAACAAGGGCTACGTAAGTGTTAGCTACTGTTGATGATGTCATTATTATCTCTCTTAATTCTCACCATAGCTCTAGGAGGTAGGCATTGTTACTGAGAGAGCACACAGCTGGTAAAAAGGTGAAGCCAGAATTCATTTTTGCCATGGCACTGCTGTTAGGCAAATTTTAAAAACATATGTAATAGTCAAACATATTTCAAGAAATGCAAAAACATATAATTTGCAAAAATATTTAATCTACTACAAAAGTCCTAGCTAAGGAACTGTAAACTGAAGTGTAATTCAAACAATAGTACCTTGCTATTTACACAGTGTTCAACAGATACCTCAAACTCACCATGTTAATAGAAAAATGCATTTCCCATTTGTGAACAAGATATAAAACTACAGGTATACTACCATGCCAATTTTGAAAAGAGAAATACAGGTGATATATTTTAAAAGACTAGACTGAATAATACCCAAATATTTATATTAGAGTCTAGGTCATATTATGCATGAGTTTTGCATTCTTCATTAGTAAAGGATCATTCACATACACACACTCAGACATACCTTGTTCACCATGAAATTCATTGTTTTTTACTCCTTGCTCTTTCTCCTGTATCCCTATCCTGCTTAATAGCTCCATGTCTACCCACCATTCACATCAGAGATCTAGAAGCCACCCTGGCCTGCCCCCTCACCCACCTGGGTGGGCCTGCCAGCTGTACCAGCTCCTGGCCCAGCCCTCTATCTGGCCTGCCCCTCTCCCTTGGTCCTCAGAGGCAACCAGCCCAATCCACCCACCACGGCCAAGGCCTGGCTAACCTTTGGTGTGCAGGAAGTCAAGGGCTGCGGCAACATCCTGCACCACTCGGCTGGCTTCTCGCTCGTTGAATTGCTTCTGCTTCTGGATGTGGGTCAGGATGGAGCCTGGAGAGCAGAGGGACACAGAGGAATGCCTTTTCAGGCTCTAGTAAGTGTAACTTCTCAGAGGCCAAGTTTTCAAAAGTTTGGGGTGGGGACATAGGCTTATTCATCGCTAAATGTCCAGCAGCAGTGTGGTACCTGGCACAGAGCAGGTACCAGCACAAAACTGGACCAAACAGAACTGGAAGCCTATCTTCTGTATCTGTCTATGATAAGCACAGAAGGGAGAGAGAATACCATTTAAGTGACCAAAAAATATTAATGCCACTGGGGCAGATTCGGCTTCTGAAATTGAAAAGAACTAAAAGTGAATCCACACGAGGTTGGGGGCCTCTCTAGAGGAACTTTTCCTCCCTTGCACCTGATCTCAGTCCAAACAAAAGCACATGCCTTCAAATGGAAAAGCCACACCTTTACGCGTTATGTAAAGGTCTAGCAAAGGGAAAAAAATGGCTTTCCCCCTGAACTTTCCCATTTATTATTATTATTATTATTTTGTTGTCAATGGCTAACATTTACTAGGTAGTTAACTATATACAAAGCACTATGTGATACTCTTTTTTTTTTTGTTTTTTTTTTTTGTTTTTTTTTGTGATACTCTTTAAATAGATTATCTTATCCTCACTGCAATTGTACAAAATGTACAAAATAGAGTCATCCCCACTACATAGCTATAGATGGGGAACCTGAAGCCAAGAAAGGTTAAGCAACTTGCTCAAGATCATACACCAGGAAGTGGTGGCATCCTCAGGACCCAAGCCCAGTAAGTCAGGTCTCGGAGCCTGTGCAGACTTCTCCTCAGCAGGACCTATGGTCTGACTCCTGGGGGGAATGGGTTTTCCTGAGCCAACCACATACTCTCTTTACCCGCTGAGTCTGCCCTCAGTAGAGCTGCGCTCTAAGTGATATAGTTACTGATGACCCCGGCTGCATCAAGCGTCTCAGATAGGTAATTCATGGTGGTGGTGTGGTTGGGAGGGGCGGGGTAGACACAGGCACGAACATATGGCTTGGCTCCATGTGGTCTGTGCTCACCACTGGAAGCCAGCATTTTGGGGCAGAAGGTGTCATCTCTGTATCCTAAAAATGGCACATGTTTACTTATTATCTCTGGTTTTTGTCATGGGGAGGGGATGAAAGATCTTTCACTTGCCAGATTAAACTATCAAAGCAACCCAACACGCTGTGGAACATTCTGAGAAAACTGGCTCTTGGCTAGGTCTCAGGCTTGCTCTACTGTAGTGAGTCTCTATTTTTCAAATTTGTTAAAAGGGAGAGTGGCGAGTAATACTCTACACACTTCTAAGACAGCCCCCAGCATACCCAATTGTTACAGCTGACATTTATTGAACCCTTAGTGCCTATGGGGCACTGAGCTAAGCATTTCACATGAATTATCTCATTTAATCTGCACAGTGTCTCAAGGAGGTAGGTGCTGTCATTATCCTTATTTACTGTTGGGAAATTCCCAACAGAATACCGTTGGGAAAGATTACGTGACTTGCTCAAGGTCACACAGCTAGTAAGTGATGGAGCTCCCTTAACCACCAAACCCCTCCGTGTAGCCCTCCTCTAGGCTCCAGACATCCTCCCTAACCTTCACCTTGCAAATGCTTCCTAGGGCTGGGTGAGTGATGGGGAGAGAAAGGGCTTCTCTATGTCAGAAAAGCAACTTAAATATATATTCCGGTGATTATGTGTGTGGGTGATAGTGGTGATGGTCGAGAATACCATCTGTCCATCTGAAGGATGGCACCTTCTGGTGAGCCTTTTTAGACTTCACAATGAATGCAAGAGCTCCGACCCCATAATTAACTTCATTAACTAGTGAATGTATCAAAACAATGGATTGATAAATTGATGACTAAATGTATCTATATATGAGTCCTATTATAATGAGAAGGCATTTATAGAAGTCCACACAGGTGACATTCTGAGTTCTGCAAAATGCTAATTACATCCTTCCCTCCGGCCTCCCTTCTCCCAAATCAAGGGCAGTTTTAAGTCCTTCATCCTTTTTATTAGCTTGACTCATTTTAGAAGTCTCTGGGATTCATGATGGATGATCACCGCCCTGGGTCTTAATCAGAAGTCCAAACACATACTCAACAGTAAGTACCTCCTTGCAATTTCTCAAAGACCAAGTAAAACCTTGTGTCGTCTTCAAAGAACTCAATCAGCTCCAAAATGTTCCTTAAATAGGGAAAACAGTATTATATATTGAAGCCCACTTACAAATACACAATGAAAAAACAAAACAAAACAAAAACCAATGCCCTGTAACAGGGCAGAAATCAACTTGAAATCAGAATGCTTATTAAAGCCCCATGTTTGAGAAGTAGCCAATGGTGTTAGCAAGATTCAGGTCACCTTATCTTTCCATAATGTTTAGTCTCTGGTGTTTTCACCAAGTCTGTGCTGTCAAACCCCAACCCCAAAACCCACTAGGTAGAGTTATAAAAAAGTCCCAGTCACATTAAACTGAATAAAATCTGCAGCCGACTGGAAGCAATTGCGGCTAATAACACTGAATAGTAGGTGTGTGTCCTGGAGGCAAGCAGCAAATAATTACCTGCCCTCCCTCTTGCCCATAAATCACGGGGCAGTATTTACATTGCCTGGAGAAAATGGAAACATCTGTCAAATAGACTTGGGGCCTAACGTGGGCACCGCTAGACCCTAACTGCTAAGCGCTACTTAATGAAACGGCTGCGTTCCCGGCCACTGTAGCACTTGTGGCCTTCCCTGGTGAGCACTCTCTGCCTGCCTGAGCGTTCCTGCGCTCTGCCAACAAGGTCGTCTTGTAACTCAGTAGGGAAGCCACCAGCCTGGATATTGGAGGTGTTGGGGGCTTTTTTTCTTTTAAAGAACGAAATAAACCAAGTGGAGTCTGTAATGCTGAACTCAGAAGCTGCAGGGCTGAAAATAAAAATCTGTTCCTCATAAAAAATGCTGACCATTTTGGGAGACACCGGACATTTACTAGCAAAAGCGCGTCCGAATAAGATGGCCAAATGGCCTAATTTGAAAGAAGATTGTAGAGGCAGTGCCTGGAGTTAAATCAACAGCAGCCCCCTTCCTCCAAGCTTAATGACAAAACCATCAATACTGGCCACTGGCTCCCTGCTGACCCTTGCCATGGAGGGAGAGAGAGGGGGGAGCGGTGTCTTAGAGGTCACCCTGATTTAAAGCCACAGTGGGAGAGCCATTCATTTGGAGAGGGTGGTGAGTAGACTAAGACGGGGCTAGAGACCACCTTGGCCCAGTTATCAAGCAACGAGTGTTAAACAAGGTTTCAGGACCCTTAGTAGTAGCTGCACGTATATAAATACGCTAGGAACAGAAAGTGCAAATAGTCTTAATAGTTCTCATCATCCTCATCTATTAACTAAAGCAGGTCCCTACAGATTTCTACTAGGCAACACTCAGTCAGCCTGCTTTCCACAGGCGCTTGAAAGAAATAAAGCCCCGTTTTCTCCCAAGCAGCCACTGATTCAGATTGCTTGCTCTTCTAACTTGCATAAATTCCTGATATGTACAGTATTTCAGCCTAAATAGAAGACAGCTTCTTTGCTGCTGCTGCTTCTCCTCTCTCTCTCTCTCTCTCAACACTGAAAGATGGAAGGAGTTATACACAGTTCTGGGGAAAAGAGTGAGAGCTAACTGCTGGGGTCAGGAGACGGTAAGAATAACTTCCTTTTCTGCAGCCAAGCATCCCCCCAGAGAAGCAGCAAGTAACCCAACACTATACTCACTTGTTTCCTTGACACTGATACAGCGTCTCCACCTCCCGAAATACCCTACTCCGACTGTGTCCTGCATGTTTTTCAATGATCTGTGTGAAAAATAAAATCTGTCATATACACCCACCTGGTCAAAACACCTCTCAGTGGGTGCCCTCTGGGACAGTGCAAGGCCAAATTCAGCCCAAATCCAGTTTCAAGCGCAAGTCTGGAGTAGGCCTTGTGGCTCTGTCAGCAAAGCAACCGACTGGCCCCAGGGCTTTCTAGCTCACCTGGGCTTGTTTGACTCTGGCCAAGTACATCACCATCGAAGCCTGTGAGGTTGCTAACCCCAGCCGCCCAGGGGAGACCGAGGCAACCAGCAAGACAAAGAACCAGCTCTACCAAACTCCTACCCTGAAAACATCTCTGTCTGCTTTAAGGATAAGAATTTACAAGCTCTACTAAAGGATCTTCTAGTGCTGGAGGAAGAGCAAGGGGAATAAGGGATACAGTGAAGAGGAACTAAAGCCCCAAGGCCCAGCTCAGATGCCACCTCTGCAATTCTTCTGAGAATCTACCTTTGGCAGGCACCGTATTAAGTCATTTAGGTACATAATCTCAGTTAATCCTTAATCCTTAATCCTTACAATCCCGAAAGATAGGCAGAGGTAAAACATTTTGCCCACAGCTCTGGTAAGTGGCAGGGCTGCAATTCAAGCCCAGAGCTGCCTCCAAAGCCCTTGCTATCCTATACCTGCTTATATCCTACACAGCTTTTTCTCACAGAACCTAGAGGCTCTGTCTCTCCTACGATACTGTGGGCTGCTCCCCCTCCCCACCTGTACGTGGAGATGCTTGGCAAGTACTGACTGAAGGAATGGGGGAGCCAACAGCTGAGCAGGTGGTTTACACAGGGACTGGCTGACCGTGCACATCTCTACAGACCCATCCAGAGCCCCAAACCGTTGCTAGTAGAGCCTGTGGGCAAGTCTTCTGCAGAGCTGGCTCTGCCTTATAGTTCCATGGGCGGAGTGGGCAGACATCTGGTTCCTTCATTCCAAGACTGCTGGCAAGGACACTTCACACTTTTCCAATATGCAGCAGCACAAACATCCACAATCAAGTAATTTTCTAAATAAGTACATGTCTGTTAGTAGACCACTGAACCCATTTTCTGAGCTGTCAGAGAGGTGAGGTGCTGGAGCACAGAAGCTATTCAGCTCGTTTGTTCACCAAGCAGATCAAAGTCAGGAAGAACTTTCTAGCAGGCAACTATTCAGCAACGGCATACTTTTCTGAGGAGGTAATGAGCTCCTGCTACCAGAGATGGGGGTGGTGGGTGCCAAACACGGAAAACTATGTGAAGAGTTACAGGGGAGGCTGAGGACCAGATTACCTTGAAATTCCATTCCAACCGTGAGACTCTAGGATTCATCAGTTGGATGCCTGTAGGGAAAGTCCTAATAAAACCAAGTACTGTGGAGCCAGGCTGGAGAAGTAGCCCACGTCTGGGGAGCTTTCAAAGAACAGAAGAGACATGAGACATGGGCGGAACTGCTGAAACCAAAGAATTGCGAAGCCCAGGTCTGGTATTTGCCCAAAGATGCCATGGAGCATGAAGGAAAGGCAGCCTTGAAGAAATAGTTCTGTCATCCATAAATGTATTCACATCTTTGAAAATCAATTTACATTTGTGTTTTTTTACCACACTTAGGCATATTTTTTTAAAAAAATTACTTGTAATTTATACTGACCTGTTTCCAACAAGGAATCGAGATAATGCTTTTGTTACCATATGAAGCAACACTCCAGCAAAAAGGGACATGGCTTAGCAGAAGTGTTCTCCTTTATAAATCCAGCTGGGACTAGGACTATGACCAGTTGGTTAAAAGAGGAAACATTTCTTTCAGGAGCCAGTGTGGCTGCGTTTGCCCATATGAGGCAGCACTTAGACGTGGTGGCTCCGGCAGATGATTTGAAAACTCTGCTGGATACCAGAATCGCCCGGACAGCTTGTTAAAATTAATGTTGCTGGGGCCTACCCCTAGTTTCTGATTCAGGAGGTCTAGGATAGGGCCAGATAATTTGTATCTCTAACAAGTTCCCAGGCCATGCTGGTACTGCTGGTGCAGGGACCACACTTTGAGAACCACTGCTCTAGATCCATCTCTTCTTCCATGTAGAGTCGGCAAACGGAAGCACAGAGGGATACGGTGAGCCACTCCACGGTCATGCAGCTGGAAGTCACCTCTCCTGCCACAAAGCTGAGTGCTCGGTCCTCATCACCACATTGCTGTACATCACTTGTATAGCATCTTGTAATTTATAAAATGTTTCTACTTCTACCAGTTCATTTTTGTTTTCATCTTCATAACTACTCCATGAGACAGGAAGGGCAGGTATTATTATCTTCATTCTAGAGACGCGGGAACTGAGGCTGAAAGAGGTTCAGTGACTTGCCCCAAGTCAAACAGTAGTAGTTTGTCAAAACAGAGATTCAGATAGGCCCTCTAATTCCAAATCTGACTGTCTGCTCCCTGAAGCTAACTTCATTCATTAGAGGCATTGTTCTAAGCACTTCACACATATTAACTTATTTAATCCTCATGACAATACTATATACTATATCGGTTCTGTTATTACACTCATTATACAGATGAGGAAACTGAAGGACAAAGAGGTTAAGTAACTTGCCCAATGTTACATGGCAACTAAGTAGAGAAACCAGTGAATCCAGTGAATCCAGCTTCAGAGCTCCCATTCTTATTAAGCCACTATATCGCAGAATATAAAATTTATCTGGTTTAGGACAAGCTAAGACTGACTACCTGCAAAGTAAAGCCTGGCATCCAGATGAGACACTCACTTTGACAGCATACTCCTTGCCATTCTGCAGGCTCACGGCACCTTGAACTTTGGCATAGGCTCCCTCTCCAAGCAGCTCAGAGGTCAGTTTGTACGTATCTAGAGGTGAAATGGGTGAGAAGAATAACAAGATGAGTCACCCCTTTGCATAGAAGGAAAGAAGAGCTGTGTCACTTGGCTTCCCCAGTCTGACAGCGCAGGCGCACGAGGACTCTGCAGTGCTCAATGACGAGAGTCTAGTGCTCCCAAGCCGCCTTGGGACTCGGCTTCACAACAACCAGGCCACATCGCTGAAGGATCTTGTTCCTCATTTTAGAGATGAGGTCAGTGAAAGAGGTTCAATTCGGCACACGCTTCCCGAGTACCTACTATGTGCCAGACGACATCGATGGGGACACAGCGAGGAATAAAGTATAGTCCCTGCCCTTTGAGAGTCACGATCCAGTGGGGAAGACAGACACATACACAAGTGACCCCAGAATAAACCAGGCAGTGGTCAGCACTCTATTATCACAGAGGGACGAGACATAGTAAAAAAAAGCGGGGGAAGGGAAAGGTTAAATCTGTTGAGGGAGTCTGGGGGATCCTCACGGAAGGAATGTGATTTGAATGGACATCATTCATTCATTTACTTATTTGTTGAGCACCTGCTATGTGCCCAGCTCTGTGCTAGGAACTGGTGATACAAAGGGGAATAAAGCACTGTTTTATTTTATACCACACACAATGGAAGTCGGAGGTTTTTTTTTTGCGGTACGTGGGCCTCGCACCGCCACGGCCCCTCCCGTTGCGGAGCACAGGCTCCGGACGCGCAGGCCCAGCGGCCATGGCCCACGGGTCCAGCCGCTCCGCGGCATGTGGGATCCTCCCGGACCGGGGCACGAACCCGTGTCCCCTGCATCGGCAGGCGGACTCTCAACCACTGCGCCACCAGGGAAGCCCTAAGTCGGAGGTTTTTGAGACATTTTCAGAAGTCACCGGCAGGAAACAGGAGACAGAAGTAAGATGCAAACGGATGCCTTGAGGTTTTTAGGGTGCTGAGTCAGAGCGGCTCTAACACAGCAATAGGCCGGGGTGAAAGTATATTTAGGTGGCCTGCCCAAGGCCCGCTCCTCACAAAGAGCACAAGCTCTCTGACCCCCTTCCAAAGGAAGCCATAGCTCTATCATGGTCTCTGCCGAGGCCTCTCCTCTCTTGGTCTCCATTCTTCAGCTTTTTCCTCTTGAGGCAGCCTAGCATTTAAACCTACAGACTACTGAGAAGAATACTTTTAACCACGAAATTAGATTTTATCACTCTTAGTCATGAGAAACCCCATAACTGCACAAGCCATCCCTGAATAACAGGAAATACTCTCGTGTTCATTGAAAGAGGAAGACCTGTTGATTTGGAAACTATTCTAAAAAACCTTGCGACTTCTGTTCATTCCCCAACCCCCTCTGCCATACACACACATCTACTGTTAAAGACAAACAGACAAAACCTACACTAAGCACCCTGTTGGTTCCATCAAGGTTTGGTCTCACAGCTGTAAGTATTTTAAATGATGTGCTTCTCTTACAATGGACACTTGGGTATTAGCCTTTGCGTGTGTCAGGATAGGTTGGTGGCTGGAGGTCCAATATTCCTGACTCATAAAGGGCTTGTTTTTAGGACCACTCTACAAAACAGTCAGTTCACTAGTATGTCTGCAGTGTTGGAAAGAGGGACCGTAAAGAGAAGCTATTTCAAGTTTCACAATGAAAGAAACAAAATAGATGATGGGGGCTCGGTCACTTCTAGGAGGAGCTACTTATCCTTTCAGTCCTTCGCAGGAGTGTCCAATGAGTCACTTCATCCCATCTGGTGCCCAGTGATAAAAGGACCAGCACTGAGCCTGGTGCCTCACACACACTGTTCAAAATGTTTGACAACTCAACATCGTGTCCCCTGAACACAACATGCACTATTAAACAGAGTCAAACTCATCCAGCACAAGTAGTTGCAATCTCTATAAGCTGAATTCTCTGCTTATAGAATACTGAAGTTTCTTTCCTTCTTTCTTTCTTTCCTCCTTCCTTCTTCCCTCCCTGCCTCCCTCCCTCCCTCTCTCTTTCCTTTCTGCCGCGCCACGTGGTTTGCGGGATCTTAGTTCCCCAACCAGGGACTGAACCCTGGCGACGGCAGTGAAAGCACAGAGTCCTAACCACTGGACCGTAAGGGAATTCCCTAGAAGATTTCAGTTTCATTTGCAGCCATGGCCCTTGACGTTCCCTCTTCCTCTGACATGGCTGTTCTACCTCTCGGCAGCTCCTCCAGGACCAGCTGAGGGAAAGATCACATCTGAAAAGCAGCTGAAGCATACCAGGCGATCTCACTCCACGTGCAACTGTGACACACTGGCCTTTCTGCTCCCTGATGAAATGCTCAGACCATTCAGAGGAGGCTTGTGCACCATCCAAGAGCTTCTCCCATCCCTGCACTCTCTATCACCCCTTTCCGTAAACTCTCTCACCCCTATCTTTCACGCCTATCACACGGAGAACCATGAAGCTGGCTCTAAGATGATGCATCCTATGACCTTTACCCCTGGGCTACCAGGACACTCCTCCCATGCCTGGGAAGCCACCAACCCAGCTCTAAGAGATCAAAGAGAGTGACAAACCTTCAAACTTTCCTGGCAAGGAGTCAGTGGCCCGGGCCTTCCGCTTCTTCTTCTTCCTCTTGTCACTTTCTGCAATGGGAACAGGTTCACTGCTGCCCATCTCTGGGAGAAAAGAGGAGATAGAAGGGAAATATCACTAGACTGATCAGGCTATAAGTTCACCCAAAAGGAAAAAAGGAGGGGGGGACCCAGGAGCTTTCCACTCACATTTTAAAAATATCTATGAGGGCTATTTATCTGTTTTGACCCAAGAGGCAAAACTAAAAGCAAAACCATTATAGATCATTAACTGTGGAAAGGAACTCAGACAGATACGCTAGATTAAAAGAGGATAGCAGAAGCCTGCTGTAACCAAGCTCATTAGCACATGGATTTAGATCTGCCCCCAAACTGAACAACGAATCCTTAAGCAGAATCCCACATGTGACATCCTCCTTCAGCCTCAGCACCAGAAAGGCAGGACCCAGGGAGCTTAAGCAGGAAGGGAGGCGGGTTTGCGGGGGCGGGGGGGGGGGTCCATGCAAATGAAATCGTATGCTGCTCAGTAACATCCCTGTGGATGTGCATAGGGACTCAAAAGGTCCTCAGTGGAGGCTGCCTCTGTGATGGTACAACAGGGCAGGGGATGGGTTTGAGGATGGCCCTAAATTCCTTCATGTCCGAGAGCACAGACTTGAGTGCTTGGGAGGCCAGCGCATACTCTCCCTCCTCAGCTCCTTATTTGAGAGGAGGCAGGTAGGGTCCATTCAGAAGCCTGCAGTTGACGGGTCTACACCGGGTTGCTGGATGCAGTCATTTATTGCAAAAACATTATTATCTCTCTGGCAAGCACCTGGCTCCCCACCTTAAAGGGAGGATTTGTGAGGCAGACATTCAGACATTGGACAGATTGGGCAGGAAAGGGTGGGGACAGAAAGAATAAGCATGAAGACTGAGAGGGGGAAAGAGAAAAGGAGGAATAATGAACCAGCAGCCAATCATAGTCCTGTTTCTAAGACACTGGAGTAAGGGCCTTCCCATGTTAAAGATAAATTACTTATAGAACATGCCATGCCCTTGATCCAGAGTGGAGCCTTAATACTCTTCGCCTGCAGTTAGAAATAATAAGATTTCTCTGAAGTCTCTGGGTCTAAATCCCCACCAGGGTGATTAAACCTTTACATCCTTCTAAAATAGAGGCGGTCGAGCACTGATGGGGCATACAATGTGAGAGACTTTTAGACCAACCTTCAATAAACACAGGCTCCGGGTTGCTAGGTTTTTTTTTCTGAGATTTTGAAATGGAAGCTGGCTCTTTGCCCATTGAGGGGAAAGGCCCACTCTCTTCTCAGAGGACTCCAGCTGAACATGATCAGAAAAATGGCAAGTCTGCTCAGGAAGATTGATTAGAGCCTACGCACGTCTACTGCACACTGTTCTCAGAAGCGAGTACACACAACCATTAGGAGAAAGCACACAGAACAACGGCGTGTTTCAATGCCACAATCCAGAACCTGGTTAAGCAGCCAAGTGTCTGACAGCTCAATGGAGCTGCATTCTTCCTCCCATTTTTAGGATCTGATGACAGTAGACTTTCATTTACACTTTAGAGAAGATAAACATGTGGAGAAAAGGAATCCACAGAGGATCTCCAAGTATTACTCTAGCCAACAGCTTCAAGCACAAGATATACCTGGGGACTGCGACATGCTATGAATTCAAAGAACCGAACTCAAACATCAGCAGCCAAAGATCCACCCTCACCAAGGGAAATCAAAAGGAAAAAAGCTGCCCAACACAGTGAGAAATTCTACAGAAATAAAACAAGGGTCACTCATCTCCAGGACCCCAGGAGAGGGGTGCTGGCCATTGGGACAGCAGCTGAGAAGGAGGGACCACTGTCCCTCTTGCCCTGCCCTTGAGTGCAGTCCAGTGGCACCCCTCCCCACCCCATCTATTTTCTCACCAGCACTGCGAGCTGAGTGCAGAGGGGACAGATTTGGGATTCACTTCTCTTCCTCCTTCCCCTGCCCACACTCTGAAGGAGGGCCAAAGTACAAGCAAAACAGCCCAAAGGCAGCAATGGAGAGGAGCAGCAAGACAGCTGGTGGTGTTATAGTTCATGGGGGACACGCAGACATACTTATGACTCTAGCTAGAAAACCCCGTTAGCTGCAATTTATACTTGGTTTTCACCACAGCAGGGCTGAGGGAGCCTCTCGTGGAAGAAGCATACCTCTGAGCACTGCCGCATACATGGTATTAGATTTTATGGCTTCACACACAAAAAGATCGAGTACCTGGTCTATTCTGCATGGATTTCAATGGAAGAGGGTGCGCCAGAAGGGACAAATGGTTAAGACTTTTCCTTGGAAACAGAACTTGTTGAAGGAGAGTTGTTTTTGAAACTAGGAAGAAAAAAATGTAGGAAGACAGTGAAGTGAAAAAAACATGCTTAACTTCCCTGTTTACAGCGGAGGAGCGGCATGGAGATGTGTCATAATCTTACCAAAGGGCTGAAAGCTCTTCACCTGGAGCCTGTCCAATACACTCTATTGGGACCTTAGTTTATTATGCATGCAATCATTTGAGAAAGGCTTCCTCAGGGTGTGAGGCTCCACAATCAAGCTGGCTTACCTCCTTCCTTTGGCCTAAGAACTCCTCTCAGCCATTAAAACCCAGCTCAAAAGTCTCCCCACCTTAGAGTAAGTTAAGGTTTGCACAAACTTTTGAAATCTATGCAAACAGATGGTGTTGCTGCACAGAGCTCGAATCCGGTGCTCCATCCTCTGTTCCCGAACACCCTGCTAGCAGCTACACTAGAGCACTGGTTTTATTTGGCCTTGAGCTCTCTCTACTGTTCCTAAAGGCCAGGGCTATCCTTGCCTGTTCATCTCTGCGTCTCCTATAAGTCGTGGTGTGGTGTCAGACATGTATCAGGCATCAGAAAACGTGTACTGAAATGAGAATATGAGAGGACGCACATCCTCGGGGTTAGGTGCAGGCCTGTCACCCAGGCCCTCTAGGTGACGAGTGCACACACTGAAAGAAACGTAGGTGCACCTTTGCCCTGCAGGCAGCACAGAGTAAGGCTTTACCCAGTCTATGAATTCCCTGATAAACTCCCTCTCAACAAAGCCCTATGACTCAAAACGTCCTTAACTTTCTAGCAAGAAGCCTGGTCTTTGCTATAGGATTGGGCGATGTGTCTGCTATTTCAGAGGAGGGAGTGAGCACTTCCTTCATGTCTGTAGACAGACCTCAGCTGGCATGGAGGCTCCCAGCACTTCACTGCCTCCAGCCCTTCACTGTCTCCAGCCCTTGCTTTCCTCTTGGGCCAGGCTTGGCGGTCGGTCCACTACTTGTGTATCCGTGGAGGTAGAGCTGGAGAGGAAGCACACTGCTGACAGGGAAGGCTCGTGGGCTTGGCATCAGGAGACCTAAGTGAAAGTCCGGTTCAGATATTACCAGACGTAGCACCAAGACCAAGTTACTTTGCCTCTTAGAGTCTCCGTTTCCTCATCTACAGGTTAGGTTTAAAAATAATACCTGCCCTTTCCAGCAATGCTGTGAGGACCCAGTGAACTACTTAATATAAATGCACTTCAAAAAAACATATATGGGGCTTCCCTGGTGGCACAGTGGTTGAGAGTCCGCCTGCCGATGCAGGGGACACGGGTTCGTGCCCTGGTCCGGGAAGATCCCACATGCCGCGGAGCGGCTGGGCCCGTGAGCCATGGCCGCTGAGCCTGCGCGTCTGGAGCCTGTGCTCCGCAACGGGAGAGGCCACAACAGTGAGAGGCCCACGTACCGCAAAAAAACCCCCCAAAAACAAAAAAAACATATATGTATGCATAAGTCTGTATGCACATACAACAGAGTAGAAAGATTAAACAGAAATACACAAAATTGTTAAACTACTACAATCTGAAAGAGTGCCTATTATGTGCCAAGCACAGGTATTTTACATACATTATCTCTAATTCTTACACTAATCTCCAAAGTAAATATTTCACCATATTTCAAGTGAGGAAACTGAGGCTCAGAGGTTAAATTATCTACCAAACACCAAACATCTAGTTAGTGGTTTAACTTGGATTCAAACACAATGCTGCCCTTTCAAGTCCAGGTCACATCTTATCTATAGTAGTTTTCTCTGTGTGATAGGGTGATTTTTATTTTCTTCTTTATATTCTTCAGTATTCTCCAAATTGTATACAATGATGTTTATTACTTTTTTTAAGTGCTATTATTGTTTCAGTCAAGTTTCATTTTTAACAAAATACACAGTAACATTTCTCCAGTGCACACTGGAATTTAGAGTCCGATTGTACAGTTTTACAAATTATACCTAGATTTCTTTATATTGAAATTCAACAGCAGGTAAAGAAAAAACATTTCAGGAATATTGGGGCCCTGAATTTTTATAATCTTGGAAAAACAACAAATGGCATTTTAACTTTTATCTTTATAAATGCTATGTTTTAAAAGGAAAAACTTTGTGAAAAAACCCCCAAATAATGCACTGAACATCTGCACCTGAGATACACCCTTTTAAATCCTGGTCTTCACACTGTGTGAGCTTTGGCAAGTTGCTTAGTTTCTCTGAGTATCAGTTTCTTCATATACAAAATAAGGTCAGAGTAAGGCCTGGCCTCCCTAGATCACAAGGCTTTTGTGAGGATCAAATAAGAAAGGAGAAGTGAAAGCACTGCTGACTTACTCATTCAACAAATACTGTTTTTTATTTGGCACCTACTGATTGTCCAGTGCTAGACAGTGAGAATATAAGAGAAGACACAGTCTCTGCCCTTATGGAATTTAAATCCACTGACATGTAAAACGATTTCAATTCAGTGGGACAAGTGCTATGACAGGGGTACCAGGTGCTGTGGAGCAAAAGACAGGCGGCTAACTCACTACAGGTCACTAGTGACCAGTTTGGTCACTAGAAGAAGGGACAGCTAAGCTGACACCTGAAGGATGAGCAGGTACCAGCCAGGGTGGGGGCTGGGAAGAGAGACAGAGGAGGTGCATGAGCTAAGGCCTGAAGGAGAGGCAGCATGGCCGGCTAGTGCCACTGCAAACTGTTCAGGCTGGCTGGAGCATAGAGTATGTGGGGAGTGATGACAAGTCAGCTGAAGGGGTGAGCAGGGGCAGATCATTTGCAGCTTCACCACCATAGTATCATCACCATCATCACTATTATGTGTTTCTATTCCTAGGCATAAGTTTATCTTGTTTTCTCCATTAAAGTAAGTGTAGGGATGCATATTCTCCTTTCTTTGTAAAACAGGTATTCATTGGAGGCGTAGTAGGTGCTAAAGATACAGATCCAACCACCAACCTGGCTCCTTCACGGGGAGAGGGCCCAGAGGACCCACAGAGCAGATGAGGAGTGGCTGAGGGATCTCACCCGGGGGGACTACCAGAGCCACAGATATTCCTAACATGCCAGTACTGAGCCACCGTACAGCCCACAAGTCGACCTCAAGGCCCCCCTTCTGAAAGAACTGTGTCATTTCTCCATGAGGTCTTATGAGCCACATGGCCCCCAAAAGGCACCAGATCTGTTCTCCACCTTTTGGTAGAGCTTAGAGAGAACTAAGCAGCTCTAACATCTGGTATGTCACACCAAAGACGATCATTCTTCCCCAAGAACATGACTCTGCTGGCTAACTCAGCTTGACAAACTTAGCTCATGCTCCTCTCCCAACCACCCTAGAGTTCTTTTCAAGATCTATGATTCAATTCCCAACGTGTGACAGCTAGTTCCCTCAGTCGCTAGAGCTTTCTAGAGAAGGAATAGTGGTGACAGTAAGCTGCTGAGGGTAATTATCAATTCATCTGCCTTCTCAGTCATCAGCTGGCTGAGGGCCCCCAAACAAATGGAGAACTGAGAAAACGAAAGGGAACTGAGGAAATGAAAGGAAGGGGGATGGACACTCCTAAGGAAGAGGCCAAGATTAAGAAATCTGAGCAGAGGAGGAGGCAGTGAGGAGGAATGAGGAGACTAGCCCGGGACACTTACTTCTCTGAAGCAGTAGTAATAGTAGTGGTAGTACACACACTTACATGGTACTTATTCCATGCCAGGCAATGTTCTAGGCATTTTACAAATACCACAGTTTACATATACTGACTTACTTAACCTTCACAACTCTATGAGGTAAGTATAATTATTATCCACATTTTACAGATGAAGAAACTGGGTGCAAAAAGATTAAGTAAGTTGCCACGATCACATCGCTAGTAAGTGGCAGAGCTGAGATTTAAATCTAAACAGTCTGGCTCAGAATTCAAGCTTTTAACTATTACAGCATACTTAAACATTAATGCTGAAAGGCAGAAGGGGACAGCCAGTCAGAGTTAGCTGGGCACCAACAAGAATGCTTTTATTTAGAAACCTTAGCACAGAGCCTCCCCAGTGATGTGCTGTGAGTGAGATATTGATCCTCTCACCAGGCTGAACAACATCATTTTCTCTGTGTGCTACGATGTCCAAAAGGTTGGGTGGCACTGCTCCAGCTTAAACACAAGGGCATTACGACCATATTATCACTATTATATTACTCTAAAATCTAATTTATCAGAAGTTTCCTCTCCTTGCTCTGAGATAGCTTTGTATTTTGTGTTTTGGCCTGTTTTGTAGGATGAGCTACAAGCCAGTCCAACCACATTATTCCACGGCAGTTCTGGTATCAGGACAAGGCTACTGTATTCTTCTTTTGTCTGACCTATTAGTTGGTTGATTTGGTTTCTGATGGTATCACTACCACGTAGGGGACAAGGTCAAGGGTACACTCAAATGGAAGCTAGTCAAATTTAACACACGGTAGATGAAAGGAGTCCCCCTGTGAAATCAGCTTGTCCTGACCAAAGGGCGGTCTGTTAATGTGGTTCCAAGGGGCTAAGGTATTTCACAGGTTTGCCACAGAGTCCAGCGTGTAGTGGGGCTGGGCAGCATTACGCAGATTGCAGTCTCTCACTCAACTACAGTGAAAGCAGCTTGAGGCCCACTAAGGTGCCAGAGAGATGGTGATTCACAACAGGCCTCAAACAGGGCTGGGATGGTAAGATTCCCAGGGGCAAAAGGTCTAGCTTCAGGCCCCCCTTCTTCCTCGGTTCTGATTCTGGGATCATATGCAGCCTTCAGAGCTGTCACTGCATCACCTGGTGGAAGGAATGAGAACAGGAATGGTGCAGGGGGTAAAGGGAGTGTGTACTTAAGAAACAGCAAGGAGGAAAACAGAACTACCATATGACGTAGCAATTCCGCGTCCGGGTATTTTTCTGAAGAAAATGAAAGCACTAAACTGAAAAGATATCTGCTCCCCATAAGTAAACAACCTAAGTGTCCACTGATGAATGAGCAGATAAAGAGTGGGAGATACACACACACATACACATATACATACAATGGAATAGTATTCAGCCATAAAAAAGAATGACATCTTGCAGTCTGCAACAATATGTATGGTCCTTGAGGGTATCAGGCTAAGTGAAATAAGTCAGACAGAGAAAGACAAATACTATATGATCCACAGGATTTCACTTATATGTGAAATCTTAAAAACAAAACCAAAAAACAAGCTTATAGACACAGAGAACAGATTGGTGATTCCTGGAGGTGGCAGGTGGAGGGCAGGTGAGATTGGGGGTAAAAGGGGTCAAAAGGTACAAAATTCCAGTCATAAAATAAATAAGTCATGGGATGAATGTACAGCATGGCAACTACAGTTAATAATACTGTACTGCATATTTGAAAGTTGCTAGGAGAGTAGATCTTAAAAGTTCTCATCACACACAAAAATTCTGTAACTATGTATGGTGATAGATGCTAATGAGACATTGTGGTGATTATTTCACAAACATCAAATCATTATGTTGTACACTTGAAACTAATATAATGTTATGTCAATTATACCTTAATTTTTTTAAAAAAGAAAGAAAGAAATAGCAAGTAGGAGTAAAGGACTGGATTTGTGTAAGCAGGACTGTATAAAAAGCTGAAAAAGGCTGAAGTCAGCTCATCCAAGCTTATTAATACGGCCTACAAGGCCCTCCAACATCCAGTGCCTGTCTACTTTCTAGCCTCACTAACCATCAGTCAGTCATTCTTTCAAGGAAAAATGAAAATAGTAGGTAGTTCAGCTTGCAGTTCACAACCTCACAAGTGCTTTTCCTTGAGACAAGCGCTGTGCTTTGGTATGCAGCAGGAGTGCTTTCGAGCATTTCCACTGTGTCACGCAGAACATTAAAAAGATGTGTACTCAAGGGCTGAGATTCATTAAGATTAATAACGTTTACTGCTTCATCAAGGACATACTTAAGTGAAACGGCATTTTTTAAAAACTGTGAGTGCATAGCAATAAGAATACAATGACTGCTAGTGCAGTTCAGCGCCACTGCCTTGATTCGCGCTAAGGCATCAGCAGTTTTGCCCACTGTTGCTTTGCAACAACAAATAGCATCTTGGCACTATTGTAAAAGTAGTTTTGACCTTGCAGATACCTGAAAGGTTTTCAAGGATCCCCAGGGTCTGTAGAGCACACTTGTGAACCACTATTCTAGGCAATGGGGAGGGACTGGGCCCCACTGGAGCTATGCTTTAGGGCCATCAAACCAGCTGTGATGGCAGAACAAACTGGAGGCTGGAGGGGGATGAGAGGGCAGAGCAAGGCTGTGGCAACAACCCGGAGGAAGGCAGGGAAGGTGTGTGGCTGAGGTGGGGATAGAAAGGAAGAGGAAGAGGTGAGGGGTGTGATGGGGAGAGGTAATGAAGCCAGAGAGGCAAAGCTGGTCCTGGTCCTGCCCAATGACTGGAGATGGTGGAGGAGTCCAAGACCACTATCCTCCTTGAAGGGAAGGCACGGAGTCTAATTTCTCTCTATCCCCACTGCCCTGTATGGAACCAGGCACACAGGGGGACCTCGATATATGCTTAGTAACCAAAATCAGGTAACTGTAAGAGCAGTAGTACCATCAAAGAAGGGGAGAATTCAGGAAGGGAAGCTGGCTGGGGATGGGGAGCAGGGGAAGACTGTGCCCCGGGAAAGCTTCAGTTGAAGGAGGGTGACATAGCAGCAAAGTCTGAAAACTCTCAGAACAGGCTAAAGCCATTCTCACCTAGCCCTCATCTGAAACAATCTACAATGAGGCATTGTTTATAACCCACCAGGCATGATGAGACCTCAGGATACTGTGTCATACAGAACACTTCAAAATGTCCTCAGATATGTCACAAATTTTTAAAACCTGGAAAGATACGTCTCAAGCCATTATTAACAATAGTTAACTTTGGGAGAATGAAATTGAGTGGATACAGAATTTTACTTTTGATACTTCGGTTGTACTTGATTTTGTTTTGTTATGATACAGTCATTTTACCTTTATAATTAAAAGGGAATAAATATGTTTTCCTTACTGCATAGTTTTCCTTATGACCCTCTCTGCCAGTTTATTCTGGTAGAAATGTGCTCCACCCTACTGAGTAACTGTCTTAGGCATGCCAGAAAGCCCAGCTAATCCCAGCTGCCCAACTGAACACTGGAGTCTCTGACTCACCCCTTCCTCCGGAAATATCAGATACAGGTCTCCCAACTTTTGGAAAGTTCGCTTCACACCACTTTGCTTTTGTGCAAGACCTACATTAGTAAGTACCTGTTTCCAAGACATACTAAGAGGATTTTCATATTTACGAGAAAGGGTGAAAAGTGAAAATAGGGTTCAGCATTTGTCTTCCAGTGAACATTACAGAGGAACCATGCACCAGGAGCAGTGAGAGTGGCACTGCCAAGCTCCCTCCCCAGGAACTACACTCGGCATCAAGCTGACAGAGCTTGGAACTGTGTCTGTGAGCATCTATGCTTGACCTCCGTTTATTTTGTGCATCCGTTAGCAACATGTGTCCTAAGATGATTGCTTTACACCATTTCTGCTTAAGAAAGGTTTCATGGGAACACTCAACTTTCAGATAGTGGGGGAATCTGCAATTTCAACCTGATGCAATCTAAAAGGTTAAATAAAATGTGCATCCAATCTTACCTATAGGTCTGCCCAACTTTGCGAAGCAGACCCTCTGTAAACTTGAAATTCCAAATGCAGTAATGCTCCTGTCAGGGGGCTGCTGTCTTCCAGTTGCAGGAAGTGTTTCAATGGCCTCTGTACATAGCAGACATTCTTCAGTTTTCCACTGGCCTCTGCTTCATTATACCTGGCATGAAAATCTTCAGAAAGCAGAAACAGAAAGGATGTAAAAATGCTGACTTAAAAAAAATGACCAGAGAAGATAAAGATCAACTTGTGTTCCCCAAATCTATGTGTTACACCAGTAAGTAAGTAATCACAAGGCAATCACAGATTTCCCCAGTCTTTAAAATTGGAGTATGTAAAATGCTGACACAAAGCATGTGAAGATTTAACAAGGGTCTGGGTAAAAGTTTTCGGATTATGCTTCCATTGTGAGATTCCAGAACCAAAAAGATATAACTGGACCTGAATGACAGACATGGGCACCTCTGTACACTGAGGAGACTCACATGGAAGGTAAAAGCTGCCACTTTTCTGTTGTCCACTTTTTTAGAGATGAATGAGCTCTGGTTTCACCTCCTAGTGGTTAGGTCCAAGACTCACAGGCAGGAGGCACCAGAGTCAGAAAGGCAAAGTAGATGCAGAGAGCAGCAGGTGGCATGAACAAGAATCAGGTTTTATGCCAAATGCATAACTATTGCTAGTTTTCCATCTGATGACTTCATTTTCTGTATGTCCACTGCTATTTTTAATCTCATGGCTCTAGTTACCATGTGTCAAAGTTGATTTGTCAATTTCTCTACTCAATGAATATGTACTTCCCCTTTTCCCAATGGAAAAGCTCTAAAAATGTAGCTTAAATCCGAATTCTAGGCCCTGGAAGCCAGATGTGTTTCACCATTACCTCAAATCACATGTCCCAAACTGTACTTATCCCCAACCCCCATCTACCACCTCCTTCCTCCTTCCTCTTCTTCTCTATCAGATTATATCATTCTGCCAGTCACCCAGCCACAGAACCTTTAAATCATTTCTAATGTTGCTTTCTCCTCCAACCTCATAAACTCTACATATTCCCATTGGCAGGCTCTCCCTCAGCCTGGTATATAGTTCCTTGCAAACAACACCTATTCATCCTTCCAGGCCTATCATAAATTACTGAAAGTAGTCCCACAAATTACAGGAATAGTCCCTCTTTTTTCTACTTCATTCTGCATTTAATTGAAACCACATCTAAATACTACTGTAATGCTTAGAGTAGGCTATACTCATGCACATGTAGCTCTCCCATGAGGCCATAACCTCCTCAAAGGCAAGGACATGTCTTTTTCATCTTTGTATTTCCAGCACCTAATGTAGTATCTGGCACAAAAAAGGGCTCCAGTAAATATCTGAATGAATTACTTCATCCACAAAATATTTCTTTATTGTTCAAAAGAGAATGTCAGCACGTAGAATTATCCTTCATATTGTGCCTTTTATTCCCAAACAAATCTCTGTGGCCCAACGAAACTATTTCCAGGGCCCAAAGAAGCTCAGGTTGCGTTCCCTCTCCCTATGGCCACAATGCTTCCAGGGACAAACTTGAACACCTTGACTTTAACCCTTTGCCTTCAGTTTTGCCACAGGTTTAAACTCCTCGGTCCCTTCTTGTTGCCTATAGTAAAGGTCGGCAATTTGTTTTCTGTTAAGGGCCAGACGGTCAATATCTTGTACTTTGTGTGTCACATGGTCTCTGTCACAATTACTCAATTTTGCCTTTGCAGAGCAAAAGCAGCCAGAGATGATACGAAAATGAGTGATTGTGGCTATATTTCAATAAAACTTTATTTATGGATGCTGAAATTTTAATTTCATATGATTTTTGTGTCACAAAATATTAATTTCTCTTGAATTTTTCCCAGCCATTTAAAAATGCAAATGGCTTGCAGTCCAGACAAAAACAGGCAGTGAGCCAGATATGGCCTGTAGGCCATAGTGCGCCAACCCAGCTTATTTCCTTTCCTCGCCAACTCCACTCCGCTACACACACACACACCTCTAGTAGGCCTACAGTAAAAACAACCTTCACAATTCCTCTGTGGACTTTGTTATTTTGCTGTTTGGAGCCACTCTAGGGCAGGGGAGGTAGAAAATGCATGGGCTTTTGAGGCCTAGATTCAGAGTCTGGCCTTACCATATACTAATGTGGTAGCCTTGGACATAATATTTAACCTCTTCGTACTTCACTGTCATCATCTATAAAATGGGGGCAGTAACACCCACATGACAGGGATTTTGTGAGAATTAAACGAGCTAATGTGTATCAAGTTCATGGCATAGTGCCTGGTTTATAATAGGCACTCGATAAATAGTAATTATTACTCTAGCTTGGGATATGGCTTCCCCAGATCAGCTGTGACCCTGGAAAGCAATCCAGACACTCTGTAAACCACAACTGGGCAGCAGGAGAGAATGAACTGAGAGCAAAGTACAAAGGCAGGGATAGAATTTGGAGGTTTTCAGACACATGACCCAGGATTCTAAGTGCCTGGTTTGCCCCGATTCCTTCTGACACCATTCCAAATTCCACTGGGCCTCCTTTCCTCCTCAGAAAGAACTTCTGACTCTCACACTACCTGAATCTCCTTAGCATTCCTTACCAAATACCCATATGAGCCCTGGAACCCTCTCCTCATTCCTGCAACTCTTTCTCGTATAGGGCTGGGAAAGGGTGAATGCAGCCAGACCAAACCTCACAGACTGGTCTGCCACTAGGTCTTAAATAGGCCAGGCACCCAACTCTCTCTCAATTATTCATGAATTTCCTGCTGTACAGAGAATGAACTTTTTTCAGAGGTCAAGAACTAGTCTCTCTATAGAAGTTTTAGAGCAAAAAAACCCACCAAGTATACAAACAAGGGTTCCCCCATAAACCATCAGCAGTGGGCAGATAGGACAGATAAGCTTGTGGTATCTCTGTCCTTGGTACAAAAAGCCAGATTTGAGCCTGGTACTTCCTTGCTCCAACACGTCTAATGGGGGTCTACTGCCTCTGGAATCACCAAGCTCCTGTGCTGTCACTCAGGGCCTCCACAGTCTTGCCCTAACCCACCCCTCCTGCATTATATCTTACTACTCCTCTATAGAAGTCCTCACCTATAGGCCAGGCAAAACAGACAGTATCTACCTAACTACCCTAAACAATTTCCAGCTTCCCACACTTGTGCATAACTCAATCATAGCACCTGTAACATTTTACTGCACATCTCCCCCTAGACTGTGAGCTAGCAACAGGGCAGAGACTGTGTCTGATTCATCTCTGGGTCCCCTACACCTAGCACAGTGCCTGACATGGGGAAAACATCCAATAAATGTTAATGAATGAATGAAAACACCTGAAATTATTCCTCCCTTAAACTGTTTTAGTTGGACTCTTATTAGCAGCTAAGCACAGTCTGGGTCACTGCCAGGAAGTAGAAAGACCTAAGAAAAAGAAAAGAAGCATGACCAATGTGATCCAAGCGACGGAAAATAGGTTTTAAGAGTGAAGTAAAAGAAAGCAAGGCTGTTTAGCCTGCTGAAGAGAAGATGAGGCCCAACTCGATTCTGGCTTTAAGTCTACAAAAGGTCCTCATGAGAAAATCTTGATTTCATCCTCCCTTTATAATCAGAGGGAACTTTTCCATATTCATGGAAAATGGAACAGAAGAAATAGCTTAACTTAAGGCCAGAGGGGCTGAAGCTAAAGAGAAAGAAGAACCAAATTAGGCACCACTTTTCCAAAGATACTGTTATTGTACTTTTTGACGAGTGAATTGGAGGGGTTTTGCTGAAAACTTTTTTTTTTTGGCCGCACTGTGTGGCTTGTGGGATCTTAGTTCCCGGACCAGGGATTGAACCTGGGCTCTCGGCAGTGAGAACACAGAGTCCTAACCACTGGACCGCCAGGGAATTCCCGCTGAGCACTTTTGTTGAAGGCTGTGCAAAAGGAAATGAATATGCTGCTCTGTTCCTGTTTGCTGTGGAGACCAGGTGGGTGAAAACACAAGTTGGGTAAGATTTTCTAATAAGCCACTGACTTTTTCCCTTTTTATTTATTTATTATTATTATTATTTTTTTGCGGTATGAGGGCCTCTCACCGCTGTGGCCTCTCCCGTTGCGGAGCACAGGCTCCGGACGCGCAGGCTCAGCGGCCATGGCTCACGGGCCCAGCCGCTACGCGGCATGCGGGATCCTCCCAGACCGGGGCATGAACCCACGTCCCCTGCATCGGCAGGCGGACTCTCAACCACTGCGCCACCAGGGAAGCCCCGCCACTGACTTTTAATTGACCCTTTTTTCTATAGGCACTTTCTGTCATGTCATGTTTTGCAGTCCTGTGATGGAACAACCTAGTATAGGCATACCTCAGAGATACTGCAGGTTCAGTTCCAGACCACTGTAATAAAACAATTATAGCAAAAAAGCAAGTCACACAAATTTTTTGGTTTCTTGGTACATATAAGAGTTATATCTACCCTATACAGTAGTCGATTAAGTACGCAATAGCATTATGTCTAAAAAAACAATGTACATACCTTAATTTAAAAATATTGCTAAAAAATGTTAACCATCATCTGACAATGCAGGGTTGCCACAAACCTTCAATTTGTAAAAGACGCGATAATTGTGAAGTGCAATAAAATGGGGTATGGCTGTATTTCAAATTTTCCTGAAGAGACAATGGAAAGAAAAAGAAGGCAACAATGTCAGAGTAAGACAGTAGGGAAGATGGCCCTAAAAAATATATTTTCTATAAAAACAATACCTAACTGGATATTAATAATAATTTTTAATAGTATTACTATTAAAGCTAACATCCACTGAGCACCTACTATGTGCCAGGCACTGTGCTAAGTGTTTAACATAAGCTATCTCAATCCTCATAACAACCCCATAAGGTAGGTTATATATGTAGCCCCATTTTACAGGTGAAGAAACTGAGACCCAGGAAGGTTATATAACTTGCCCAAGTCACACAGCTAGCAAGTGTCAGAGCCAGGACTCAAACCCAGGCAGTTCAACGCAGAGTCTACTAACTACTGTCTCCCTGTAAGAAGGGTGACAGGCTGGAATTTAAACCTTAGCCCCTCTGAATCCAAGTTCATACTCTCAGCTACTTCCTTATACTGCCCCAAGCCAGGAAGAACAAAGCAACATATGACATCAGCAAGAGAAGAGATCTCAGATGTAAACCAAAAATACCCCCCATATTCCAGAGAAAGAAGCTAAGGTGTAAGGATTCACAGATGCTAATGAGCACAACCAGGATTTGAATGCCAGCCTCTTGACTGCAAGTGGAGTCCTCTTTCCTCCATTATAGATTCTTGTTGAACTTGAGGGTGAGAAAATGAAGGAACAGTATGTGCCAAATGGGCTCCCTCCCCAGGCACTGTTGTAATGAACTGTTAAACCCACATTAGAACCTGTGCCTGAAATACCAAGGCACCAGCAGCCTCTGTAGACTGATTATAAGGTTCTAGTAGTTGAGATGGCAATGAACTGATTAATGGTACCACAGGAGCTGCCAAAATGCTCACATAGTAAACCAATCAAGCAGACCTAGACCAGGCAGCTACCATACTAAGTCAGTGGCTCACAGTTTAAGCCTGGACTGAACTATTTCAACAGCTTCCTTGTTGATGTCCCCATTCTCAGACTTCCTTTGCCCCAGACTAGCCTCCATTCTGCAGCCAGAATAAACAGAGCCCCAGTCATGGCATTTAAGCCTTGTAGCATAATGAAAAGAACATGGATCTTTGAACCCAACACTCATAGGTTTGGACCAAGCTCTGTCACTTACTAGCTACATGACCTTGGGCAAATCACTTTAATCTTTCTGAGGTCCAGTTTCCTCATCTTTAAATTGGGGCTAAATATCTCCTTGTTACAGGATTCTGAGGATTAAATAAATTATAGTGCATCTAATATACTCTTGGCCACAAAGCAGAATAGACCGGATAAATGTTAGTGTTCTTCTTCCCACACCCCTTTCTACATTTTGGCCACAATCAATCATTTCAGCTATTTCCCTTCCTCACCAACTCCATCCCTCTTCCCCAACACACACACACACACACACACACACACACACACACACACACGCCACCTCTAGACCCCTGCTCAAGCTGTTCTTTCTCACAGGAATGAACCTCCTCTAAGGTCCAACATAAATTTTCCACCTTCAGGAATCCTTTCTAGACCCTCTTCGGTCGTGTTGGGATTGATTTCTCCTTTTCCCAAACTCCCACTTTGTTTACATTCTTTACTACATTTACTATAGTCAGTCTGATTTCAGTTATTTATGTACTTACCTATCTTGCCAACAACACTGGAGGGAGAAGGCTCTAGGAAGAGAATTACTGGGGGTGGTGGTGGTGGGATGAATTGGGAGATTGGGATTGACATATATACTCTAGTAAGTATAAAATAGATAACTAATACAAAAAATGAACATGCACTGGAAACAAAAGAGAACTACTTATAGGAGGGTGGGAAATGCGTTGTTCTCCTCTGTGTATATTTCTCAATACCTGGGTCTTGTACATAGCAAGAGCTCAATATGCGCTTATTAAACTGAATCTTGCCACCACTGACTGGGCATCTTTACAGAAAGATCCTGGACTGAGTTTACTCTAAAATTCTGCTCTCACTGCCTGACTTGATCAACATGCAATTTTTAAAGTGTACTAATATTCCTAAACTGTTCCACCCCACTGGTTAGGAGACGACAGTCATTAAAACCATATTAAAAAGCAGAGTCAGGGAACCCGAAAATAGATCTGAATGATTTCTGTCTCAGTTTCTAAGTCTGTAAAATATAGAGTTTTGAGATGTTACATAAAAAGCGCTTAAAACAGGATCTGCCCCATAGCAAGTACTCAATAAATGTTAGAATTTTATTATAATGTAGTAGACTGGAAAAAACAGAGTCAGGACTTTTCACTTCTAGTACTATCTCCACCACTGACTGATGTCTTGTCCAATCTTGATCAAGTCCTTTCCCCTCTCTGGGCCTCTCCCCATCTGTAAAACTGAAGTAGAACCAGACGGTTCCCAAGCTCCTTCTACCTTCAACGAGGTATATTTTTCTATGATCAACAAAGAGCCTTCTGTTCCAGATGCTGAAGCTGTTGGCAAGGAAAAATTGTAGCTGCTGGTTCCCAGAGGAGAGGGGCCAAGACCAAGGCAAGGCCAGGACAATTGATTAGTAAACCACCTGTGCACCTTCCCCTGTGTGAACTATAACACATTCAGTGCAGGTTCCTGAACAGAGCACCACCTCTCTGCCAAGAAAACTCACAGCAAAGGCAAGACAAGAGCCTGAAAACAACAGCAGCAATGAAGAATCCTGCCTTGTGCAGAATTCCTGCACTTTCTTACCTTTCATGCCTGTAATTAGGGCACCATCAATCTAAACTAGGGCCCCCCTTAGGCACAAAGAGAAGGAAGAACACAAAGGCCCACTCTGAACATGAAAGCTCATAAAACAAAGACCAAAGCGAGTAAATAAAAAATGTCACTGACTCATTCGACTGAACACACTGCAGAGGCCTACTATGTGCTAGGCAGAGGAGGTATGAAACAGACATGATCCCTTTCCACCAATGTAGTCAGAGTACATATGGGGTGACACATCCCAAAGCAGACTGTAATAAGAGCTATATTTGAGGTGTAGCCTCTGCTATGGAAGATGGGAAGGGGGCAACAAATCCAGTAGGGGGGACCAGAGAAGCTTCAATGACAAGCTACATGAGACACAGGCCTTGAAAGATGGGGAGGTGGGAACCTCAGGAAGACGGAATATAGGCAAAGGAACATGCAGGGAGTACTAGAGAAAAAAAAAAACACAAAAACTAGTTTATTTTGCCTGGGCCACAGGGTGCAGGTTTGGGAGAACAAGGGGAAACAGGGCAGGAGAGAGATTTGGGAACAGATTATGGAGGGACTCATCCACGAGGCTGAAGAGTACAAAGTCTATATGGCAGGCAATGAGGCCCACCAAGGTTTCCGAGCAGAGATATAACATGATAAGAACACTGTCTCAGGAAGATCACATGGGCACCCATGAAAAGGATGCAAAAGGAACCAGATTACTAGATTACTATGGGAAGCTTCATAAGTATGTGTTGGAATCCAACAGCTCCTGTTCACAGAGCTTCTCACTGCCCAGGTTCAGCTTCATGTAATCTGAGTTTAAGAGGTGTTCCCTTGCCAGGCCCGTTAACCGTCAAAATCTGCTAGCATAACAGGACTTCCAGACAAAGTAAAAAACCCAATTAACCCTATGGATCACAGAACAGGAAGAGCTGATGCGGGAGAAGTTGGGGAGGGAGCACCAAAGTCTCCACCTGGCCCAGCTCCACATAAAAAACCAACCCTGGATCTCCTCTTTATATCACTTCCAGCCAAGCCTTCTTTACAGGGGCTGAAGCTAAGTACAGTGGGGCCGAAAGCACTTGGTCAGAGGCTGAGGATCTAGTGAAACAATATATATGAAATGCCCAGCACAGTGCTGGGCACATGGGCACTGGTCAGTAAGCACTGACCCAACCTGCAAGGTCAGTTCCACCTATAAATCCCACTGAGGCTTCAAGACCTAAGTCACCTTAAATCTTCCCTCAAAGGCCTCTCTAAAGTACCCCAGTCCAAAATGACCTAATTCCTAGATATCACACCCATTTCATGTGCCAAATATTCAGCACCCAATTCATGACAGGTGCCATACAAGGTGACTCATGTAATCCCATTCAACCTTCACAATGACCCTCCTAAGTCTTTTAATACAGGAGAAACTAAAGCTATGAGAGGGGAAATGACTTTCTTGAGAACACACAGCTAGGAAGCGGCAGAGGTGAGATCTGAACCCACGACTGCCTGACCCAAACTCAAGCACTTCCAACACTTCAATCCTGTCACCAGCGATGGCCTCTGATCTGCTACTGACCATCTGACAGGTAGCCTGGAAACTCCCTATGGAGAGAGATGGTACCTGACACTATTCTCTCTCCTCACTGTACAGCGACCCACCTATGTCAGGAGCTTTTAAATGAAAACATCTAACTTTAAAATAATGGAGTACACAGATATGATAAATTCCTCACATAAAAAACTATTCATGACGTTGGACTGTCTGAGCCCTGAGCCCAGCCATATAGCCTGATAGGGACTGAGTCTCAAGCTGGCCCCAGGATGAGCTCCGACCTCAGACACCTGTCACAACCCAAGCCCCGACCCTAGGCACAGGCTGAGCCCGGACCGGAAACACACGCTGCACCCAGAGCTCGTCCCAGACGGAGCCCTGCCAAAGAAGAGCCCTAAAGAAGCGTCCCCTTCGGCCGTCCCCGCCCCCCGCAGCAGAATCTGGTCGTGACCTCGGGCCGTTCTGAAAGCCCCGACTGCTCCGTCCCAGGCACACGACTCATTCACAAACCCACCCCCCCTCCCCGCACCATTTCACTGGCAGGGAAACCTCGCTGTCTGGGCTTTACCTCAGCTGACTCCCGGTAAGGCCTGTCGCGCACACCAACCACCTGCTCGCTCAGCCAAGAACACGGAAGAAGATATACTAGCTCCGAGGGGTGGGCCCGACGGCGTGTAGGGAGGAGCTGCGCCTGCGCCCTGATGGCCACGCCCAGCGAGTGGGGGGGGCTAAGCAAACTGCGCGGGCGTGACGGGTGAAGGGCGGGGAGGTTGCTGGGATAGGGGGGCGGGGCTTAGCTCCTTCTGGCCGTCCCTTTCCTGAGTGGAGGTCGGGAAACCCGGGAAGCGCAAAGAGGGAGGAGGCACGGCAGCAGCAGGTATAATTATATTTACCGAGCGCTTCTGCATGCCGGGAAGGAATTTTTAAAATCCCTTTTACATATGGGGAAATGCTGCCAATCTTTTTAAAGACGAGAACGAATTCTGTAAAATTTCTTAAAAGGTTTGCGTGCCTGTAATTTCACCATGAGAGTTTCTCCTTGAGTAAAGTATTACCCCCAGTAGGTAATGGTGGTTTAAAATAAAAAACGTAAAAAGTTCATTTCTTGCAGAAAACTACCTGCAAATAAATTAATATTTCAACCAACCCCCGACCCTCCCCCAGGCTGCAAGTGTGATGAGGGAGTGAGAGTGCTGACTTGAGGTTAAGGCAGGCCCTGAGTGTGTTTCCTCCGTTGTGAAATGGAAGTAAACATCCCTCCCTGCCTGTGTCAGGATTGCTGTGAGGGTCTGGCGAGCAATGCTCGTGAAAGAGCCTCTTGGACTTCCTTCCCATCATCCACCCGACAAATGTTCGTTCCCTTTCCCCTTCTGGGCTCAGTCTTCTCATCTGTATGATGGAAGGAGGTCTGGAGGTCTGGAACAATAGGGAACATTCAAGGCTTTGCTAGATTTCCCAGTCTGGGTGACGGCTGGAGGCAGGGCGGGTTCTCCCAAGCTTCTGTATTAAGTAAGTCACTTCCAGAATCTCTCAGTTCAACCTGAAAGCCCCTGTGTAAGTTGACCTCTCCCACCATTGCCTTCCAGGCCCATCCAAGCCTCAAATACTCAGAGGCTGCACTAGCCTGTTCCCATCTCTGTTCCCTGAATGTCTCAATAGCTAGATGATCCTCAGTCACTCAGGTCTGTGTTCCAGCCCAGGTTCTCAAAATTGCTGTGTTCCCTGCATGGCAACCAAGTTCAGTTAACAGCAGAGATGAGGGCTCTGGGGGGCTCAGAGGAGGAATGGCTTAAAGAAGGGCTCCCCAAATCAGATGGAGCTCCAGCCATGCCTGTGGCTCCCTTCACCACACACTCCACACAGCTCCTGATGGTGGGGCAGTGGGAGTGGCAGCAGGAAACTTCCAAGAGGCTACAGTGTTCCTGGGGACTAAGGGTGGTGGGGCATCTTGTACTCAGCAGGTGAATGCTCTGCTCCAAGGTGGGGAGAATGGCTGGGCAGCTAGGCTGCAGACGGCTTTGTTTTCCTGTTGGCTCAAGATCCATAAAAATATTTGGAGCAGGGAATGAGGAAGCAAGCCAAACTATCCCTCTACCTTCAATACATTGCCTCTCCAAGGATCCTCTCCTGCCAAGTTTTGCCCTATGGGGGGCTCTTTTCTCTGTGTAGCTGAGGCCTCAGCTCTCTCTTTTATCTTCTCCTTTCTCTGTCTAGTCTTCTCCAAGCATCCCTCTCTGAATTTCTCAAAGTAGTTTTGTGAGGGCTTCCTGATGTATTCAGACATTCTCATGTAAGGTGCAGGCCTTGGCCACACAGTTCTGAGATAAGTCTACGCTCATATGGTGTATTCCAGAACAACTGTGATCCCAGAGCCTGAAGTTTCTAAGAGTCTAAGCTGTCCAGTAATTGAGGAAGTAGTGCGTGACCTGCCATAGGAGGTATGCAAGCAGAGCCACCTTTTAGAATGCTGGACTGGGGCCTCCTCTGGTAAGCCAGAAGAAGGGGCTGCAGAGTGCAGGGCCTTACAGATCCTACAGCAATGAAAGGAGGGATACCGGGCACCAGGAAGGGAGCTAGGCAACTAGCCAAAGACAAACGATTCAACAAGCTATTATATGTCAAGCATCTAGAGCTGTACCTAACACACAGTATTAGTTATTATTGTGAATGATCCACAGACTGTAATGAAGGAGCTTAGAGATCTAAGTCCCTCACTCCCACACCTGATCATGAAGTACATGCCAGAGTACCTTGGGGGCTGGGCTGGGACTGGAACCCAGGTCTCTGTCTCCCAGGAGAGGCACTGCACAAAGCCAGGCTGTCTCCTCGGGTAGAAGGAAGAGCTCTAGGTGGGCCTCTGCTGACTCTTAAGAACCAAGCTGGTTTTCAACTCTTGGCTGGGCAGTTGAGGGTAAGGGGCAGTGGACTGATGGCAAGACCTGAGCTAAGAGTGTCAGGTGTCTCCTGGGGAAGAAGCTCAGGAGTCAGCCCCAGGTCTTGCCACCACTTGGAGCTCTAGCCAGCACCCGACAGACAGCCTTCTTTGGAGAAGTGTTTCCTCTGCTGTGATTACAGTTAGGGCTGTATTTCTGCCCTGTACCTTAACCCATTAGCTCCAATAAACCACCCAGATTAAGGGGGTGGAGTGAGAGTAGCCAGTGCCAGGTGACCTGAGCTGAAACAAGGAAAGACTTTCCCAAGAGACTGAGTTCCCCGAAGCCCTCCCCACTCTGAGGTTCCTAGCCTAGCCCAGGAATTCTGGGTCTAGGATTCTCAGAGCCCTGGGAAAACCTTGGTGACCCCACCCTGGAGAGCTGGGCCAGACATGACCACATCAGCCAGCCCTCCACATGGCCCAGGATCTCAGGACAAAAAGCCCTCCCTGCCCCATTCTGGCCCAGTTCCTTCCACAGCCTTCCCAGGAGCCATGTGGCACCCAGACCACAGCTTCCCACCAGGGCCTTTAGTTTGCCTCCTTTATTTTACCAAAAATAACAACAATAAAATTTCCCTCTGTTTCACAAAAAAATACATCCCCCGCCCCCTGCCGCATGATCAGTACTGGCCATAGCCTAGACTCCATCTTCCAACCCACAGTCCTCCTTGGCAGAACCTTTGACACCACCCCCCACCGCCCCCCTCACACCAGAGCTTCTGGCAAAGCTGCTGGGCCAGTGCTTCCCTCGGGAACTTCTCTGGAGGCAGCTGTCCCAGGTCCAGCTGGCTGGACCCAGGAGCCCCATCTGCTTCCCCAGAGATCTGGCAGCTGCGGGGCCATGGAGAGGGGCATGATTTTGGAGTTCTGGCTCAGCAGACAACCCCAGCAGACCACAGGGGTGGTGGGGTACTCTGGCATCAGGCTAGAAATCCTTGCTCAAAGCAGGAACAGTTGTATCCTGGAGAGGAGCTGTCAAACCCTCCTTTGGAGTGCATCTCATCTCCCTGTGTAGCAATCCACAGGCCAGGGGTGGGAGTCAGAACCCCTGGTTTCCACTCCAGCTCCACAAAAGCTTTGCTGGGAGGCCATGGACAACTTCTCCCGCCTCTCCTCTGGCTTCAGTTTCCTCCCATGTACGTGGATGATTCTGAGTGAGACTGTATGATCCTCAGATTCCTTCTGGCTCTCCATCCTGGCCCCCCAGCCTGGAGTCTCCAGGAGAGGAGGGCCTTGTCCCTGCCTCAGTTTCCCCACCTGTGGGTCTGGGCGCAGGGCTGGGCATGGCCAGTTTCTCTGTGGACAGCTATGCTCTGAGATCCAACCAGCTGGAATATTTCAGGGATGGCTGGGAAGGAGGCAGGTACTTGCAGGATGGGGGCTCTCTAAGCCTGGAAGAGTCCATTCACAGCTATGTGGTCCTCAATGTCCCAGGCGGGAGATAAGGCTCCGGAGCTTCCCAATTCAAGCTCACTAGCTTTGTGGGTTGGAGGATTATCTTGTGCTGGGCTTCAGATCCTCACAACCACATCTGGAGATTCAGGAAGCTAGATTGGAGTGTATGATTCCTGATTTAAGGACTGGGGATCTTTGTGGACATGAAGAATCACCCCTGACGCCCATGAGGCTATCTATAATCAGGCCTTCTGGAGGCAGAGGGATGAGGGAAATGACAGCTCCTGGGCATCTCTAGCTGAGCAAATCAGAACTTATGGTGGGCCAGGATTTTAGTCAGGGCAGGGCCCCCCTTCCTACCTCCCCCCATCAGTAGCTCTCCAGAACTCATGCTGATGGAAGATGGTAGCCTGGAAGATTCAAACATGGAGCTACATCTACCACCACAGTTCGTGCACTTACACACATAGTCAGACACACCAAATGGGGAGACTGACTCGTCATCATTCCTAAGTGGTCATGGTCCAATGGCCCTAATCCCTACTTCCTTCCTTCCTTCCCTTCCATCCATCCATCAATTTACCTAACATTTATGGAGGGCCTACTATGTGCCAGGAACAGTCTAAGGCACGTAGCTCTCACAGACACACCCCACAGTCAAAATCATACACGTACACACCGATATAAACATGTCATCCGTGTCCACTCACTCATAGGCTGCTCATGCTCTTGCATCTTTCTTGCCGTCACTTCGGCCACATCCACGTTCCCCAAACAGGCTTGGCAACCACCGTGGAAGGGTCAAGTGTCAGAGCAGACTAGAATTCATGCTAAGGGTTTAGCTGCTCCTTTTTACCTGTCTGCCCACCTTTAAGCTCTTCCCTACTCCACTCACAAACAGTCAGGGGGACATGTGGGCAGACTCCTGAGAACCAGAAGTCCAGGGGCTTTGGGTGTGTGGAGGGGCCCCAGGGCCTTCAGGTCCCTCTGCTACCAGACTTCTGAGGGTCCCCTCCCTGGCCACTCTGTGTTCAGATGGTCCATCTGATGGGCAACAAGGTCCAGGTCTGGGCTCAGTGACAGATCCGCTCTGTCATCTCCCTCTGCAGAGACACAAGGTGGGGAGGGGTCAGTCAGAGCTCAACCTGCCAGGCAGCCCATTTCCAAACCACAGGGCCCGGCTACTCTTCTGCCTGAGCCTGGCCCCTTCCCGCCACCACCGCCTCCCAACTCCAGGCTGCAGATCTGTGTTTGTAACCTGATACTTGAATGAAGTCGCTATTAAAGTACAAAATCCATTGTTAAATGAATTGCGGTCCCCTAACATATCCACTTGGATATTGGATTTTCTTAAAGCAGGTAGCCTTCGGATCTGAAAACTCAGAGGCTAGCCCCGGTGGGGGAGGGCAGTAGGGGCTTGGCCTCACCAGTGGCTCCAGCTCCCGCTGGTCCACCAGGCTGAACTCACGGATGAAGTAATAGAAGTGCTTGTAACAGGTGTTGACGTGCGCCTCAGCCCCCATGCTGAGAATGCTGTCGAAGTGGTGGATGTAGACATGCACAAAGACACGGAAGAGGCGGGTCAGGATCTTGGTGCAGACCTGCTGGAAGTTCTTGGGGAAGGGAACTCCTAGGGGGCGGGATGGGCAGATATGGGGCGTCAGCAATCTGATGATGAAACTCTGCCCAACCCCGCCCTCCCCGACACAGGCAGCCTCTGCCCAAGATGGCCTCTTCCCTAGCACACTTCCCTGTGGGAAACAGAGATCAAGGTTTGCTTTCTCCCATACTTCCCTTTTTAATGAAACACTGTGCCTCTCCTCTGCTGAAATACAAATCATCTTCTGATTTTCCCATCACCCTGAACAGGACTCTGCTACTTTGTTGGGTCACTGACCAACCCTTCTTAGACTATAATAGAAGTTATGCCAAAACTCTCCCCAGAAACATGTGCCTCTGTAGGTGCTCGCACACAACACCCTTGGATGCAATTCCAAGGGGAGTTCATCAATATCTGGGGTCCATTTTTAAGAATAGGGGCCTTCAGGATTGAGTCCTAACTTCCCAGCATGGCGCCTGCTCAAGGCCTTTCATGATCTGATCCTGACTTGCCTCTCCAGCCCTACCGACTCCTTCCCCTTCGCAACATTCACAAGGCAGGCCCCAGACGCTAATCCTGAGAATTACTAAATCTTCATGAACAAGTTCATGTATCTCTCAGTCCTTCAAATAGTCAATAAGACTCACAAGAACCTTCCATCTGTGAGCCAGGCCCTGTGCTGGGTCCTTTGCACCTTTAGCCTGGTATGATAATGGGTATGGCAGCCATTCTAGATATGATAAAACAGAGGTGCATAAATGTGGAACCACTTGCCCGAGGCCACACAACTATTAATTAGTACAGACTGGAGGCAGGATTCAAGCCCTCTTTGCACTGCACTGCAGCACCCCTCGGATAAATGCCACAGACCCTGCCAGAGACAAGGTCCAGGACCTGTGAAAAAGGCACAATTTCTGTACAGTCCCCCATGCTCATGGTGGAGATCTTGGTGGCTACTCTCTCTTCTCTGCTGTGGCAGAGCCATCCCAGGATTAAGGCACAGGCACCTGGGATCTCACAGGCCTGGGGGTGAAGACTAGAAGGGAACAAGAGGTCAGACGCAGGCCCACACTGACTCACCCCACTCCATGAGGCCCTTCCCCTTCCTCACTGCTCTCGGGTGGGGCTGAGCCCTGTCTCCCTGTGAGCCGTTCCAGGCCCAGCCCAGGTCCCTCAGACTTGTCCTGTCCATCTAGATGTGGGGCCCTGGGCCTCAAGAGACCTGAGCTGGTTCTGAGTCCCTCCTGATTCGGTGCACTCTCCCTCTCTCGGCCTATTTCCTCTCATGTGAAATGAAGATACCCATGTTGGACATGGTAGTGCAGGAAATGGAAGGCCACTGACTGGGGAGGGGCGTGGGCACTGATTTGTGACTCAAGGCCCTCAGCATTCAGACTTCTCCCCTCCGGGCCTGACCACCCTGCCCCGCCCATCTCTGATTCCCATAGCCTTAACACAGATGAACAGGAGGCCAGGTGGGGCGCGGCTACTGTGATGAACACAGGGTCATGCCTGCTCAGCTCCTGAGCCAATACCGTGTCTTGCTGCCCTTGGGTGGGGAAGCCGGGCCAGGATGACATCATTCATCTCCTCTCCCCACCCTCACCTGCCCAGGCTGCCCAGCTGAGAAAAGAAAAGGCGCCATGGATTGGGCTTGACAGGGAAAATTCTGCCTTCAGAGCCCACTGAGGAGGACATACCGTCTGGCCCCCATGGGGCCCCACCCCTTTCCCTTTCCTGGGGCCAGGAGTCAGAGGGGACTCCCAGGAGGCAGCAAGTCAGATCAGCCCAAGCAGGGCGGGCGACCTGCTAGGAGCACCTTGAGGCACTTGTTCTGGAAGGTTTTGAGAATCACAGTGGTCTTGACAGGGTGTTCCCTGGAGGGACACTCAAGCTTCAGACAAAAAGAGGCCCCAAACTGGGAGCCAGGCAGCCCTAGCTCAAGATGCTCAATCTTGAGCAGACACGATCTCCCTGAGCCTCCGTTTCCTCTTCTACAACATGGCTGTATCAAGCTAAATGCCTCATTTGCGCGATGGGCCCCGCTGGCTCCCTTCCTCCCTAGCCAGGCCTGACCTGCCTGCCAGGCGGCACTCACCCACGCGCGTGGGAAAGACATCCTCGTCGTTGATGAGGCCCTCAATCCAGTCCATGAGCAATGCCATGTAGCGAGGCGCCGAGAGCTTGGCCGGCCGCCGGTACTGGCGCTCGTCCTGCCAGCGGTACTCGTAGCGGGGCCCGCCGGCCATGACCGGGCAGCTGGTCTCGCTGCAGCGCTCGGCCATGGTACCGTAGATGAGGTTGATGCGGTTGAAGAAGTCCACCACATGCACGGCGATCCAGTCGTCGATGTTCTCGCCCGGTGGCAGCCTCACCACACTGCGCAGGTCCAGACCCGACTTGAGTGACGCCTGCGCCTTCTTATACAGCTCAAAGCGCTGTGTGCCCGGCTCGAAGCGCTTCCGCGGCCTGAACGTCTTGTCTTTGGCGAACACCTGCTTCAGGCACAGCGCCATGGCCAGGACAGGCCAAGGGCCAGGGGTCCAGGGGCAGGCCCTGCGGATGCCCTGCCAGGGCCAAGGGCATGGGGGAGCATGGTAGTCAGGTCCTTACCAAATGGGCTTGACTTCCCAACACATCATTTCCCTCCCACCTCTCAGCTTTTGGCCTGGAATTCTCTGCCTGGAATCTAAATTCTCCTCATCCCCACAGTCCAGCATCCTGCCCTATTTCCAGATACCCTAGCTCCCCCTGCCAAGCGTCCACAGCCCTCCCATCTTGTTTAGTTTCCTCTCCACTTTCATTGTGTCTCAGAGAGGGCTGGGCCTGGGCTCCAGACAGGTGCTCCTCAGACTTGCTATGAACCATTAGAGAGCTGGCAGAGGCTTCCTGCAGGCAGAGGCCCCTGCAGGAGGCAGAGGCCTGGACAAGATGACCTCTGGGGATCCCATGGGCTAGTTGGTAAAGCGTGGGAGAGCCGGCCTGCATTGTCCTGGGGCTAGGGGGAGAGCCCCCGCCCTCGGCTTCCTCTGAGATATCCCACAGTCCATCCGGCCACCGGGGATTCCCAGGGAGCACAAGGGACTTTTCTACCAAAAATGTACTTTCCTTTTATTACCCTGAAAGGAAAGAGCTCTTGTATGGCCAGCTGGGTGGCCTCTGAGTGTGGCTGCAGGCACTGGAGGGAGGGGGAGGTGGCAGGTCTAGAAGGGCACCACTTCCTCCAGCACGGGCTGGAGATCCTTCCTCCCAAGCTAGCCTCCTCCAGCCTGAAACACAAACCAGAACAGCCGGCAGCCCCTCCCACTGCACCTGACATTCAGTAGACATTCCTACAGCACATACTATGTGCCCGGCACTGGAAGGTAGGAAAATGCAGTCAAATCACCCAGCTGGGCCCATCCAGAATTCAGAAGGATTTGCTTTGCCTTAGAATTGAATTGAAGGATCTTAGAATTGAAGGATCTCAGTCTCCGAACAGACTTTGGGGACGGTGATAAGAGCCCCAGGCTTTGAGGCTGGAGACCTGGGTTCTAGTCTCATCCACCACTGCTGGGTGACCCCTACAGCAGGCATGGATTGGGCCATGCAACTTCCTCTGTCAGTCACAGGCCAAGTTCCTGGGACTTCCAAAGTAGTCACCTCATCTCCCCTGTGAGTGTGTGAGCTCTTGGGAAATGCAGAGCCAAGTACCCACTGGAATTTAGCCACATGAGCACTGATCCTGACCCCAGACTGAGCACTAAGGCTAAGTGTAGGCTAAACACTGAGCTTTTTGGCTGCAGGCTGAACTATGACCTGGCCCTGACCCTGGTCAATTTGAGTCCTGGACTCTAACCCTAGACTGAGGCTTGAATACAGCCACAAAGCCTGGCCTTGACCTCAGAGCTGACACTGGAGTATTTTCCTTTCTCACATCTCTAGAAATACTGGGACAGGTTTGGGGAAGGGAGGGTGGGAACAAGGTGACAATTGGGTGTAACCAAAGGTACATGTGGGTCATCATGTCAGACAAGTCAAGCTAGTGGAGAAGTCTAAAACACGCAACACACAGGCCATGAAGGGGAAGTCAAGTAAAATGAGAGGAGTTTGGAGAGTACGGGCAGGTCTCCCAGCAGGATCTTGTCCTCTTGAAAAAGCCTCAAAGATGTGGCAGGTCATCCATCCCCTACCCCTCAACTTCTCACCCAAAGAAGTTCCCAGTGTGGGACTTCCTGATCCAAGAGGAGATTTCCATGCTTGAATTGCAGCCTGCATTCTAACTCTGCTTGGGGCAGGAGCTTCCAAAATCATTCACACTGCAATTAGGTTGGGTCCCTGGGCTCTCCACCTTTGCACAGCCCCCCTCAGTGACAGCTACTAACAGACCCTCACCCTGGCATTCAACACCTCACCCTAGCTTTTCTGCCTCACTTCCCTACAGAAACTACCCTGGGCTTCTTCCTGATCCCTGAACATGCCCCCAACTCCTGCTTCTGTGTGTTTTCTTACACTGGTCCCTTGGCTTGACTCACACTGTCAGGTTGAATGCTACCTCCTCCCACAGCCCCTCTACTGAACCCAGATCTTTTTGTCCTTAGGTGGAGATTACTCTTTGGCCATTTGGTCCCCCACCAGCCCCACCCCCCAGCCTCAGTCAGGGCCTGGCACATAGCGGATGCTCAGGCTTTAAGGAAAGCTCAAAATCAAGAATCATAGGATTGAAATAGCCCTGAGAAATCAACTGGCCCAACCCACTTCTTGTATGGATGGGGAAACTGAGGCCCAGTAAGGGGACTTGAGGAGACTGCATTCACACAGCAAGTTATAGGCAGGGGATCTCCAATGGCAGAACTGGACACTGGGATAAGGTGGGGCATGACAACTAGTAAAGGGCCATTTTCCTGCACTGCCTGGTCGCTGGTCTGGTGGAGATAAGGGGAAAGGAGGGGAGTGGAGGGAAAGGGGAAGCATCTTCCCATCAACTAGACCAACCTAATTCCTGTTCCCCCAGCACACCGAGCCTTCCCCACACCTCACAGCAACCTTGGTGTCCTAACCAGTGAGCTAGAGTCCCACCTTCCTGCTGCAGAATTTCAAGGCCCGGGTCTTTCCCCAGGAAAATGAAAGCTTGGGGGTGGGGGGGTGGATAGATGCCCTTGTATCCGTGCCACTTGTCTGTCTTCACTTCCCACTCCCATCCCTTTACTGAGTTTCTAACTCTCACAGAATCTCTGTCCCCTCCCTGAACTTCCGAACCATGGCCATTCCCCCTCTTCGCCCCCGTTTCCTAACTCTGGATGTCCTTTCACTCCTAAAGTGGCTAGTGATGGCTCGCTCCCTGGGTGAGCATCTGGGTTTCCCAAATGAAGACTACAGAGGGGCCCTGCCTGCTTCTGATGCTCAGCCACACCTGCCACTCCCCCAGGCCTGACCCAGGATCTTGGCCCCAGTCTGAAACCAGAATCCAGCCTAGAGTAGTGCGGGTGTGTGTGTGTGTGTGTTTTGTGTGTGTGTGTTGTGTGTGTTGGTGTGTGTGTTGTGTGTGTTGGTGTGTGTGTGGTGTGTGTGTGGGGTGTATGTGTGGTATGTGTGTGTTGGTGTGTGTGCGTGTGTGTTGTGTGCGTGTGTCGGTGTGTGAGTGTGTGTGTTGTGTGTTGGTGTGTGGTGTGTGTGTGTTGGTGTGTGTGTGTGGTGTGTGTGTGTGTGTGTGTGTGTGTGTGGTGTGTGTTGGTGTGTTGGGGGTGGGGGCAGGCGGGAGGGCTGAGGGCAGAGATCCAAGAGAAAAGTAGAGGCGAGGACTCCCAGCTCTTCCCCGCGGCGCTTGGCCACCTACGACCACTCCTCGGCCTCTCCCAGGACCCCTGACGCCCCTGCCTCCCCAGCGCAGCCGCCAGGACAGACGGGTCGTAGGACCCAGAGGAGCAGGCCTGAAATTTCCGCCTCCGAAGACACGCCCTCCTCAACCGACTCGCCTCAACCCCAGCCCCGACTTTCCAGCTCAGAACTTCGGACACGGATCGAGGGCTGTGGCCAGCCTGCTCGGGCACAGGTCGCCTCGGGACGGTGCCACGCCGGGACGGCCGGAGAAATGAAAGTGGAAATGAGGCTGGGCCGTGTGCGCGGCGGGGCGCGAGGGGCACTCACTCACGGGGTCCGCCGGGTGGGCTAGCGCGAGTCCACTCTGGCCGCGAGGTCACATCCCCAGCAGGCGGTCCCCTCCTTTTGCTCGTCGCCGGCCGCGCCGGTCCTCTCGCCCGTCTGCCTGCCGAGCCCGCGTCGCCCTCCCGCCCCAAGGCGACGCCAACTCCGCCCCGGCCCTCCCTGCCCGGCCACGCTGCGGCCAGGGGGCGGGGAAGGGGCGGGGAGAGGGGACCCCCCCAACCCCAATACCCCCGCCTTTCCGGAGAGTCTGTATCGCTCCCCCAGCTTCCCAGGGGCAAAGGACTAAGAGCTGGCCCTCTCAGGAGGGCCAATGAGGCAGCCTCAACTTCTTCGACTGTAAAATGGGGACAAGCCCAGCTTCTGTCTGGAGCTGGATAATGGTGGTTTCCTTGCCCTCCTAGAATCTTCTGTGTCTCGCGTGTCCCTGAGCTGGAGATCACTATGCACTCCCATACCCTCAGCTCCTGGCATAGTGCCTGGCACATAGCAGGCACTTAATGAATGAATGCCTTGGGTACAAGGAGCTGAGTCCCTTACCCCAGCACTGAAAGGACTGGCCCTCAAGAGTGCTCAAATCACAGACTTTCACCTCCCCCACCAGGGCTAGGGTCTTGGCTTAGGCTGGGCAGATTCTCCTCACTCCTGGGCGGAAGTCACCCCGTTTCCCCCCACCACATTTTTGTTCCAGCAGTTCCCACTTTGGGATATCTTCTTTCCTTCCTTTCTTCCAGCCAAATCCAAAGACTTCAAGACCTGATTTGCTTTTGCTACTTTTCTACTTGGGTTCTTCCCCTGAGGGCAGACAAATATTCTGCAGCAGTGCAAAATGCACAGGGTGCGCCCCAGGCCCAGGTACCAGTTGGCTGGCTCTGCCCTAGGGTGGCAGGGAAGGTTCGAGGCCTTCTAGGGTGGGAGAGCCAAGGCAGACAGATGGGCTACAGAAGTCACCTTGGAGGGGTATGAGAGGTGAGCAGGCAGGGATAAGGGAGAGCGCGAGGCAGGAGATGGGCATTTACATGGCACAGAAGCCCCACTGGGCTCCCCTTGTGTCTGGATCTTCTGCTTGCTGGATGGCATGAGAACACACTGGATCCTTAAAAATCTTAGCTCCTAGAACTGAAGATTCTTTCTTTTGTTGAATACCTATTTTTATCCCAGTCTAAAGCTCTCTTTTTTTTTTTTTGGTGTCTGAGTCTTAACTCAGCCCCAGGTCCTCTATAGGCCAACATTTGCATGCTCTAGTGTATGCAGAAGGAATTCAAACCTAGTCCTTCATTTATTTGATTTTGTAATTAATACGCTTTATTGAGCATGGCTGTGCACTGAGAGCAGGGGATCAGGTGACGGAGCTGACCCAGTTGCTGACCTCAGGTGCTGACAGGTCAGCTGGGGGGTCAACACACAGAGATAACACAAGGTCAGAGCTTAGTCATCCAGTTTTGAGAACACGGTTATGGACTGACAGCGAGCACTTGGTAAGTGTGGAGTTATCGGCGTGAAACACATGGAATACCCAAAGTGGGTGCTTTGAGGAGAGTTTAAAGAAAGCAGTGTTTAGAAGTATAGTCAGGGTGTAAGGAAACCGCAGGGATAGCATATCACCAAAGGACTAGTAGCCCTTTGCTGTCTATCCTGAGCTGGAGGGAGGGGTAAAAGTGGGAGCCATGAGGATGGCATTACTGACCAGAGCTGTGGCCCGAGCTCGAGGGACATACCCAGCCCACAGCAATCATACTGCAAAGGACTGGGGGTATAAGGGGCCCCACTTCCCTCCCTCTGATTTCTGGCAAGAGTTCCCCATTGGCCAAATCCTACCAGAAGCCAAGGGCAAGGGAACCAGTTGATGCAGCCCACAGAGGTCAGTCTCCTGGGACCTGGAGCTTGGAGGCGGAGGTTGGAGTGCATCTGGAGGGGCAGCGGACTCAGCACGTGGGCCCAGGGACTTTGACTTCACAAAGGAAGTAGAAACTGCTTGTGCTTTCCTTATCATTCAGTTCTAAATGTTTCATAATTTCATTGTCATTTCCTCTTTAACCCATGGATGATCTAGAAGTGTGTTTTCTAGTTTCTCAACCTATGGGAGGTTTATATCTCTTGTTGACTTCTAATTGTATTTCATTGTGGTCAGAGACTATGGACTGTAAGATTCTTTGGAATGTGATGTGACTCCCTCTGTGGCTTTGTACATGGTCATTTGCTGTGCCTCTGAGCTGGGTTTTATAAGATAGGCAGGAGTTTGCTTGCTGAAGAGTGAAAAGCATGGAATCTTACACCATGGGAAATTTAGATGATCCATTTTGAAGAAACTTCAGAAGTTCCCAGCTTATCAACAGAGCCCCTGGGTGTCTGCCTCAATACAAGCTGACAGGCTGGCATGTGGGATGGGAGGCAGGTGGAAGGGTTGGGAGAAGCCAGAGATAGCCCAGATCCCACAAACATCCTGTACCCCCTTCCTGTGACTCTCAGTCTGGGCTAGAGAGACTGTGTTCTTCCAGGAGGCTCTGTTGGGGCTGAGAAGACCCAGACCTTGGAGAACAAGGTCCAGGCTTTACCATGTATTAGCTGTGTGTCCTTGGGTTACTCCTGCCCTCTCTGATGGCATGCTGTAATACCACAGCACTGCCTACCTACACAGGACAGGCACTGTTCCCTGACACTGTGTCCTGAGTATGATAAGTGCTCAAATAAGGCCATCTCTGAAGCTTGGCAGGAGTCGTCAAGGACCTAGTTGAAGATGTACCCTCTCCCACTGCACAGCCCAGGCTCCTTGATGGGAGAGCCAAGTGGCAGTGGAGTGGTGTCCAGACCTGGGCTCCTGCCCTGCTCTGTGTCTCTGGGAAAGCCTCTGCCCCTCTCTGGGCCTCACTTTTCCCCATCTGTACCACAAAAGCATCTTCCAGCCATACCATTCCAAGTGCCTTATCAAGACCAGCTTCCTGCTCCTGCCTCTGTGGGCCTGTACCCAGTGACTCCACTGATACAGAGTGACCTCTCCCTGGGAGCTCCCCAGCCCCTCCTATGCCAGGAAAGGCCCCCCAATCCCAAACTTCTCCCAGAATGAGCAATGAGTCCCAGCTCACCCCACCAGGCATCTGGCTGCTCCTGTAGTCTGATGGGGCCCACCTTCTCCTCACTCTCCCAAGAAAAGGTTTCTATTTCAGTTTCTGCCCCTCCCTGCCCAGAAGGCAGGATCTCCCATCCTGGGTCTTCCATCCTGGCACACTGAGGAAAAGCAAAGGACACCCTCATGGCAGTAAGAAGAATTAAGGTTGGACTTCCCTTAGCTTGAAGAAGACAAGTTTCAAGGGAATGTGACAGGGGAAGACAAGGTTGAGAAGTATGTACATCAAAATTTTGTGGGACCTCCCTGAGCCTATTTTCACTTCTGTAATACAGAAACAACAACAACTGGGACTTCCCTGGGGGTCTAGTGGTTAAGACTCCACGTGTCCACTGCAGGGGGCATGCGTTCGATCTCTGGTCGGGGAACTAAGATCCCACATGCCGAGTAGCATGGCAAAACGAAACAAAACAAAACAAAGAAACAACAACAACAATAGTAATAATAAGTCTCCCATGGAAGAGCTGTGAGGATCAGATGTGCTAGTCCTCATTAACAGCAGAAGGCTGCAGCCAGTTTTTCTGGGGGTGCTGCCTTCAAGCTCCCTGCAGGCTTTTGTGTAGAAGAGGGATTGCACTTATTTCTCTGGTCCTGGAGGGCACGGGTCAGAGACCAGGATAACACGAGGAGACACTTGGCACATCAGAGCTCTCCAACCATGCAGCCTGGATGGCTACACTCACTTCTCCGGAGGGAAGTGTGCAAGCGAAAATGGCACAGCCCCCCTGTGACATGGGCTTCAGAGGGTTTCAGTCCCTTTGAAGAGCAGGAGTGCCCTCCTGACCTTGAGAACCTTGCCCATGCTCCAAGGTCCTCCTCCCTCTCAGCTCCCCATCCACCTCTCGAGTTGGAGGCAAGGAGACCTCTAGAGGCTGTGGTGGAAGCCTGGGGTGCATAAGGGCCTTAGGACAATTTCACAGCCCCCCGACCTGACCCCCAACATGACCCTGCTAGGTAGGCACTGCCCCCTCCCCCAGGTGCACGCCCTCCAATCACTTGGGTTTGTTCTCAGCTCAGAAGGGTCCCAGGAGTGGAGGTGATAGTCGGGTGGGGGGAGGTTCACCAGTGTCCCAGGCTCAGACTTCCAGAGAACCCACCACGAAGCCTGCACAGGACGTTCTGTCCAACCCTAACCCCTCCTCTGCCACAGTGGTGCCTCACATTCAGCCTCTGAAGCTGCCTGCCTGGAGCACCACCCCAGTTCAAAGCCCTTCTCCTACAGGCAAGCCTCTTCAGACTGCCCCAGCCCCCATGGCATTTTCTTCCTTCCTCCGCAGTATCCTTTCTCCAAGTGTGTTCAGTAACATGTGCCTCAGAGTTGCCAGTGGGGATGGAGGTTCCTTACAGAGAACCATCTGATTCTGACTAGGCCTGGAAATCTAACTACCAGTTATATGAAGGACTGGGAATAGAGGAACAAGTGAAATGACACTGGGGATGAAATCAGCAAAATCCAGAATGAGGAAAATTCTATAGGTTAGATTCTCAGTAAATAAATAGCAAGAAAACAAAAGAGATGAGGGAACACCTATTAGTCAAAAGTGACAATATGGACTATTACTCAGCAATAAAAACAAATCAACTATTGATATTTGTAACAACTTGGATGGTTTCAAGGGCATTATGCTGAGTGAAAACATTCAGCCTCAAAAGGTAATATACTATATGATTTCATTTATATAAATTCTCAAAATAACAAAATGATAGTGATGGAGAGCAGATCAGTGGTTGCCAGAAGTTAGAGTTGGCAAGGTGCATGCAACTATAAAGACATAGCACATAAACCATAATGGAAAAGACTATGAAAAAGAACATATATACATATATATATATGTGTATATATATATGTGGATCACTTTGCTGTACAGTAGAAATTAACATTGTAAATCAACTATACTTCAATAAAATAAATTTAAAAAGAAGATAGCACAGAGGACTTTGTGGGTGACAGTTCTGTATCCTGACAGTTCTGTATCCTGACAAACCTATGCATGTGATAAAATT